GAGGGAGGGAGCCCATTCTAACAAGAGGAGCTATTTATGAAGTCCTCACTCTCGGCCAGCTCCCAGACGGCAGACTTTGACATATGTTAGGTGATTCATTCTCAGAAGCCAGAGCTAACCCATGGTTGAGTGGGGGTGGGTTACAAATACAACATATGCAAAGTTCTCCTGTGAGGGACAAGCACAGGTAAGGTGACCTTAGGGGGAAATCTCTCCAAACACTATGGGCCAGCCATGAACACTCTGAAGTGTGATTTTGTCAATTTTGTGTGTGATGACTCTCTGCAAGACCAGGGACTTGTCCATTCATAGAGCAAAGATTCTGATCAGGCTTCTGGGATTCTTCAAGAAGCTTCTCAAAGCCCCCAAGTAGGCAAACTCCTGACTACCAGAAGGACAGATTCCTTCCAAATAGCAGTACAAACACATTGAGGTGGTTCTATAAGTTCCTGGCAGAGACCAGACCCTCTTGGAACCTTCAGAGCTTGTGAGAGAGGAGTCCTACCAAAACTTGGGTAGGAATTTGCATCTTGCCTGACCAAGGAACTGTTGCAACAGACTGTTGAAAGCACAGCCTGTACAGAGACTACCACAACTTTATTCATAAAACACTTGCTGTTGTAGTTTGAATGTAGCTGACGCCCATACACTTGTAAGGAGCAGCACTAGTAGGAGGTGTGGCTTTGCTGGAATACATAGAGTCTTGTTGGGTTGTGTCACTGTGGAGGTGGGCTTTGAGGTCATATATGCTCAAGCTATGCCCAGTGTCTCAGACCACTTTCTGTTGCCTGCGGGTCAAAATGTAGGCCTTGGTTATTTCTCCAACACCGTGTCTGCCTGTACACCGCCACGTCACACTGAGATGATAATGGAGTAAATCTCTGAAAAATGTAAGCCACCCCAATTAAATCTTTTTCCTGAGCTTCTGTGGACATGGTGTCTCTTCGCAGCAATAAAAACCCTAATTAAAGCACTGTACAAGAACGTCTGTCCATCAACTGCCTGGCTAGCTTTGAAGAGATGCCGCCCTACTTGTTCATTCTGTAGTCAAGTATAACTGATTCGAAACAACTTTGGAAATCTTCCTCAATTAGTCCTTAAATTGTCCCCTGGTTTCCATTTCTTTGAACACATACGGTTTCATCTTTGAAAGCATGTCTCTGTAGTGCTTCCTGCTTATCCTCAAATAAATTGGAATTATTCCTTAGAGAGTTCACTCTTTCTCTCTTCCCCCACCCCTCATTACCTTTCTTCTCTTCTCTCTGCTCTTTAGGTCAACGAAACATCAACTCCCTAGCGCTTGTGTGTTTGCTTATGTAAGAGACAAAACACATTTCAGCAGGTTCCCAAAGTATCGGCCTAAGAGCAACCTGAAGACACAGATACAGCAGAGCAGAGGCAAGGGACTAGATCCATTTCCTCCTGCCACGAGGTCTGTATCACTAGCTGGAGTCAGTAGACTGCAGAGGCGTCCAACACAGGGCACCAGAGGTATGGTGCCTTCATTTGTGTACTGATTTTATGTGTGAAGTGACCTTCCAGGACCTCGAAAAGAGTTCAAGCTGCTATTCAGTTTACCAGGTTGCTCTTTCAGAATGTTCCTTGAGAACACCTCAACCTCAAGGTGTCTTCTCTTTCTTCCTTCCTGCCCATTTCTTCTTTCCTCCATTCACATTCCTTCCTGCCTCCCTCCACACGTCTCTCTTTCCCCCACCAACTACTAGTGCTAACCTACAATGTGCCAGATGTCACATGAGGTACATAAAATATTTTAAGAGACTAAACACAATGGGAGGGGGAGACGATAAGAGAGGATAGCGGGGGTGAGTGAAAATAGTTAAAATCCTTACATACGTGTATTTAATTACAATCGTGCTTACACATAGACATTAAACTGCTACAGAAAATACCAAAGGACAAAAGTTGTGACTGAAACTAAAGAATTTAGTCTCAGGTTAAAGGTTAATCCTTTAAGAGAAACTTTCCCTTCTCCTGCCATACTCCCGACCAGAGTTTACTGTATTAAAATTACTTGTTTACTGGCTGGCTCCTTCTCATTATACCTCTTGCTTCCTGAGGGAAATGTTTGTGTTTTCCCTTGCACCCCCTTTTCAACTATTCGTGCACCCGTATGTTGTCCACTCCATATTAACAGATTTGAGCTAACCGGTGAAATGAGGATTGCTCAGCATTGTTTTTCTACCCCACCCAAATGAATGGTTTAAGGACCAAAATTTAATTACATCTCTCTACCGCACTAAGTGGATAATAAGACCAAGTGGCTATAGACTTCAAAGGAAGGGCTTGCAACAATCTCAGGAGCAAGAGGATCTCTGGATCTTGATCTCAGAGGATCCTGAGTTGTGGTGCCCTTGAATCGCCTCAGTCCCACAACTGTTTCCAATCCCTCTTGATTGGAGAGGTAGCACAGTGCATGGGCTAAGAGCAGAATCTGAGCATTGCTGGAAAATGCTGGGTTCTGGCTCTGACTCTTATGGGATTAGCCAGTCTTTGCCAAGTTACTCAGTCTCCCTGTCTCTTAGTTTTCCCACTGGCAAATGAAGATAACACAACTACCTCACAGGAAGAGTAAATGAGTCATCATATGCAAAACATTTGGAAAAGGACCTGGAGCCTAGTAAGAGCTATACAGCGCCAACTATTTACCACCTAGGAAGATGAGTATGGTGCCAGAGCCTTTGAAGCCAGAGTAAGAAACTCGGGCACTGGCAAGCAAAAGCACGTGACCTTGGCGGAATTGCTTATTTTCTCTAGAACTATTTCATTTCTCTCTGTACCATATGATGGCAATTCTATCTTTCTGCTTACTTCACAGAGCTGTCATAAAGACCAGAGGAATTAATGTATGCTGAATTTTTGGAGAAGCTCAAAGTCTTTTATAAACAAGGAGTCCTATTAATATTATTTCCCTTTGAATTATTTGTATATAATCAGGGCAGTTTTACACCTTCCCCTTTAAAGCAAAGAATCATGGGGGGAAAAAAGCTGGATGATGGTGCACACTTTTAATTCCAGCACTAGAGATTAAAGTTCGAGACCAGCCTGGTCTACAGAACCAGTTCCAGGACAGCCAGGGCTACACAGAGAAACCCTGCCTTGAAAAACAAACAAACAAAAGAAAAGAAAATCAACTCCTTCATGAAGTGATGATGGATTGTCCCATCAAACCTAGTTCGGAAGTCACGGGAATTGTGTCATGATTTAAAATACCCAGTACTCCAGTAGACTAATGCTGATTACAGTGGGAAGGGTACTAACAGTGGGTGAGGGCACTTGGATAAAGTTCCCAATTCTCCAGTTGATTTCCTGTATCATCTTGGATGAGTCATTCTTTTAATCTGTGCTTCCACAACCTGTAAAATGATAACAAAAAAAATCTATACAACTCTGATTTCCACTGGGTGGTGGTGGCGCACACCTTTAATCCCAGCACTTGGGAGGCAGAGGCCAGCTTGGGCTACAAGAGCTAGTTCCAGGACAGGCTCCAAACTCTACAGGGAAACCCTGTCTCGAAAAAAAAAAAAGAACTCTGATTTCCTCTCCACTTACTGTAGTCTATGTGCAAGGGGCTTCTGGTTGCTATTATTCCAGGTTGGAACTCAATCCTATCTCAAGGACTCTGCACTTGGATGTTTCTCCACCTGCTTTTGTGCAAATAGCTCTATGGCTCGTTCTCTTTCTTTTTGCTACGTTTCTGCCTTAATGTTTTACATGCAGTGTTTGTACAAATGTCTCTAACTCTGTGATTGTGTATCTTGTGGCAGACATGCTTCTAAACACAGAGAGCTGGTCACTGAGGTTAAATACCTGTTGGATCTTTACAAAATAAGTCCTCCTAGGCAGAATTTGTTCACAAATATAGTATTTGATGAATAGAAATATTCAAAGGTATGTCCAGCTTCGGTGTTTTCTTCTCTCAAACTTCCGGCAAACACAAGCCCAGATCACCTTGTAGATACCCGAATCTATGAAGCCATGCATCTAACGTCTGCTCACAGCTTGTCTTGACGTGCTATGATACGAGCACTTTAAATATTTCTCAGTAGACTCTCAGGAAATATTTGATCAGATGAACATTAAATGGGAAAAAGTTATTAAATATTTTAAAAACTGTACATATATACACATTCTATATAATTGAGCAATCGTGCTTACACATAGACGTTAAACTGCTACAGAAAATACCAAAGGACAAAAGTTGCGACTGAAATTACAGAATTTCCATTCAATTCTCTTTCTTTATTCAAGTTAATAAAATCATAATTAGCTGTCGGCTCTGATAGCTCAGTGGTAGAGTTGTTTTTTGGCATGCGCGAAACCTTTGCTTGGACTCCCAATACCAACAAACAAACAAACTAAAACCTGAATCTCAGAATTTGAGTGTGAAAGATCGTCCCTTACAAGCTTGCATGTCAAGGGAGCTTAAAAACACACACACCTCGCCTTTTGAGTATCACCAGCTTTACTGTTGATTATGGGTGGACAGGGCTTTTCACAGTGCAAGATAAAAAGCAATCAGCAAAGTTAGCTGATAATGACTGCTACGTCTTCTTTTATAATGAAAACATCTTTTTCTTTTTTATTAATTTTTTCATACAATATAGTTTGATCATGTTTTTCCCTCTCCCAACTCCTCCCATCCTCCCTATGTGCGACTCCGGAAAAAAAAAGCAAGAAAAAAATTAGTAAAAACGAAAACCAAAACCAACAGGCAAATGAATGATAAGACAAAGAAAAATGTCCCAAACAAAGCAAAACAAGGGAGCCCACAAAAATACCACTGAGCTCGTTTTGCGTTGGTCAACTTCTCAAACAAAAGTTGAGCACCCACAGACCGCCGGACAAGCTGCCAGGCAGAGCGCGCATGCTCGGCCCGCCTCTTCCGCCCACGTGACCGGCACTGCTCCGTTCCCCAATATGGCGGCGCCCAGCGGAATGAACTGCACGTGAGAAAGAGCAGGCAACCCAGCCTCTCAGAGTAGCGTGTGTGAAGCGCTTTCTCCTCCGTGCTGCTCGAGAATCTTTTCCTGTCTCCCTGAGGCCCTCGGAGGGTCTGTGGCCGTCGGCAGCCATGAAGACCAAGCCGCTTTCCCACAAGACGGAGAACACCTACCGGGTGAGCACGAGAGCCGGGCCGGGAGCCGAGCCGGGCCGGGAGCCGCGGGTCCCCCGCCTCTGCTTGCCTCCTACTGATAGCGTGACTCCTGGGCCTGCAGAGTTGGGGAAAAGCTGCGACCCCTTGTCCCCGGCTCCGGCCAAAGTGGGAGAACCTGCCACTATAGTAAACACGAGTTCCGGGGGGAGTTAGGGTTGAGTTGCAGAGGTCTCCGTTCGACGATGAGCTCCGGTGTCTGGGGGAACTGCCTTGGGTTCGGGGTCAAATCCATCTCCCCGGGAGGTTTCCTGCAAACGTGTCTGTCCTTTTAACCTTAAAGACTGAACAGAGGGGCGTGGGGCGGGCGGGCGGGCAAGTGGTGAGTGACTTCCAGCTAGCCGTTGTGGGGCACTTTTTAGTGTCCTCTCAGATCCTATCGTAACTGTGTTTTAAAAACCACACTTGGGCCGGGCGATGGTGGCGAACGTCTTTAATCCCAGCACTCGGGAGGCAGAGGCAGGCGGATCTCTGGGAGTTCGAGACCAGCCTGGTCTACAGAGCTAGTTCCAGGACAGGCTCCATAGCCACAGAGAAACCCTGTCTCGAAAAACCAAAAAAAAAAAGAAAGAAAGAAATAAAAACCACACTTGTTGCCATGACTTAGCGAGATCCCTGTGCTTTTTCTGTGGTATGAAATCTGAAAGACATAGCAGATCGACTTGTCAGCGTGCATCTAGCTTCCTCAGCCTGTGTGGAGATGGTATTTAAAAACCAGAGCTTAGGAGGTAAATCAGTTGGTAGAGAGTGCTTGACTGGCATGCAGGAACCCCCAGGAGTGGCCAGTGGCCAGTGACTGTTACCCCAGAACTGGGGATATAGAGGCAGGAGGATCTGAAGTTAAATTTAAAGGTCACCCTTGGCAACATGGCCAGTTCCAGGTCAACCTGGGATACATAAGTAAAAAAAAAAAGACAATAAGTTATGCAAAATATAAGTCTTTATTATTGTTAACTAGTAACAGTGCATTTGTGCATCTGGTTAGAGTTCTTACATTATCTTTGTGCTTCATCAGTGATAGCTGTTCTTTTAAAAGAAGAAACAGTTACACATTTAATGATCAACAGGCGCCACAAGTCTGAAATGACAAGCTAAGGTGACTGTTATTTGTGGTGACAGTTCATAGAAGGCTAATTGAAACTCTGAACATTCTGCCTTTGGAGTCTGATGTGATTATGGTATAGTGAGCTCCGATCCATATCAAGATATGATAAGCATTAAGTGCGAATGTGTCTTCAGTGTGCTTCTTTTCTTTGCAGTTTCTTACGTTTGCCGAAAGACTGGGGAATGTGAACATTGACATCATTCACCGGATTGATAGAACCGCAAGCTATGATGAGGTAAGAGGATGTTGTATTAGTAATCCTCAAACTGCTTTAGTAATGCAAGTAAATTGTTTTTCAAGACATTTTTAATGGACACACAGCGATTTATACCTGTGTTGTCCAGTAAAGAAAGCACACATAGCAAATCCATTTTTAATTCGCTTTAAAGTCCTCGATAGCTATTAGTGTACTGGAGAAGTGCCATACTAGACGGGACATTTCCATCCTGGCTGCAAGTTCAGTTGGGTGATGTGGGCTTAAACAGCTGGCTTGACTTGATTTGGAAACTCATCTTTTGTTATGTACTCTGCAGGTGGGACTAATTTTTGTTTCCAGCTCTGATTTCAAAGTGATTTTAATGAAATCTGCTTCTTGGGGTCTGATTTCTTCCTCTTTGAAGGAAAGATGCTAGACTACACGTTTTCCTGTCCTAACCACATTTCTGACTGGTGTTCTTCTAAGAAGTGTTTTCCCCCTTTCTTGGCACATCAAATCCTTATGCTTCTGCTAGCCCTTTAAGGCTTGTTGACGCAGACGCCTTTAACTCGGGGCTTCTGCCTCAGCTGGTCGTCTTCTGTTACTGATCAGCTTCTGTCCTGAGTCTTTGCATGCATTGTCTCCCTACCACTTTCGAGTGTTAAATGGTATCATCTAGATCAGCATGAAATGCTCTGAGAACTCACCATGAAGGGAGTGCTCTCTTGAAGAGTATCAAAAAGGATGTCAAAAGAGGATCTATAGAAGATAGTACCGAATTGAGTTTTGCCATTTGGGCGGGTTTTAGTGTGGCAGAAGGACAAGAATGGCTCTTCCAAACTGAGGAAAAGTCTACACAAAGCAGCAGACGCTTGGAAATATGTGTCATATTTAAGATACTACAAAACTGTCAGCCTTACAGATGTGCTCAGGGTGCAAGCATGCGTGGTGACTGGGAGGGGAGGGGGGGTAGCTGGAGAGATGGGAAAGATCAGTTTCATGTGCCAAGCAAGTTTGAATATCATCCTGGAGCTGTAGAATGCTATTCCAAAATCATGAGCTGGGGAGTAAGTGACTTGATCAGGTGTGAGATCCGATAAGAAATGATTGTGACAGTGGCAACCAAAACAGAAGGAAAGTTCCAGGGATATTAAGTAGAGTGGATAGGGATTGTGACCTACTAGATGGGAGGAGAGGGAAGGAACAGGGTTAAGGTTTTTGGTTACAATAACAGGATGGTTGAAGATACCACTCAACAGTATAGATTTGTGAAGCGTTGTGTGTGGTGACACATTCTTGTGATTCCGGGGGAGGCCGAGGCTGTCCTAGTTAGCCTGGACTATACAGCAAGACCTTGCTATTCACATGGGCGCACGTGTGCCTGCTCTCTCTCTCTCTCTCTCTCTCGCTCTCTCTCGCTCTCTCTCGCTCTCTCTCGGTATGATAAGCATTAAATGCTAATGCAAGAGAACACAATTCTTAGAGGAAGGTAACTTGTTGGATGTGATGTATAGTATAATGTGTAAATTATAGTGTCCATAGGATGTTTGGGAGAAAAGGACAGTACTGGAAAGCACTGAATCCTAACTACTAGACCACCAGGGGAAACATTAAAAGACATTTGACCAGCAGGGTGTGTTATCTCGTCTTTCCTCCCAGCACTTGAGAAGCAGAGGCAGGTGGATCTCTGTGAGTTGGAGGCCAGCCTGGTTTACATATCTTGTTTCAGATCAGTGAAGCTATATAGTAAGACCCTGTCTCAAGAATATGTGTGGATCCAGAGCATAGATGAATGCAGAGACAGGAGAATGAATGGTCCAAAATGGCTTCAGTTATGTATATAGCAGTTGGGTCTTGTTGATCTCCATTCTTATTGTCTCATTTCTATTGCTATGATAAAGACCACGACCAAAAGCAACTTGGGGAGGAAAGGGTTTATTTCAGCTTATTATTTATAGTTCATCAAGTTGGGAGCTCAAGGCAGGAACCTGGAGACACAAACTGAACCGAGAGCATGGAGGAGTGCAGCTTACTGGCTTGTTCTCCACGGCTTGCTCAGTTTACTTTTACCGTGCAGGACCAGGGTGTAGTGGTCTGGGCCCTCTCGCTTCCATCATCAAACAAGAAAACGTTTCACAGGCTTTTTTCCAAGGCCAGCCTCGTGGGAACATTTTCTCAGTTAAGGTTCCTTTCTCCAAAATGACTCTAGCTTATGCCAAGTTGACATAGAATTAACCAGGATACTCTTGGTATCTTTCTTTCTCCAATATAGCTGGATCGGTCTTCTTTCTGTCATGTGAGACTCTTTCTAAGGTAGTGTAGCAGGAAGGGCAGCCCTCATGCAGCCTCGCCATTTCCATCAACTGTCTGCTGTTAGTAGATACAAGGGGTTAGTAAACTCTGTCTACATCCATCTTGCTTTATCCAGCAACTCAGATAGGGATTTTTAAATCAGACATTGAAATATAATACAATCTAAAGGTAAACTAATTTGATACTTGCTGAAGAATAACAGAAGCTTGGTCAGTTGTCTTGGAGTTGCTTCATTAATCGTGACCTCTCCTGCAGGAGGTTGAAACCTACTTCTTCGAGGCGCTGCTGAAGTGGAGAGAGCTGAACCTCACAGAGCACTTCGGTATTTTTGTTTCGTTTGTATTTTATTCTCCCATAATTTGCACTTTTTATGTTCCCAACAACTAGCGATGGAGAAACTGAACGTAATCCTTTTTGCTTTCATTCTTTTTTCTTCTTTTGTTAATCCAGGGAAGTTTTACAAAGAAGTCATTGACAAATGCCAGTCTTTTAACCAGCTGGTCTATCATCAGCACGAAATAGTGCAGAGCCTGAAGACTCACCTGCAGATCAGGAACAGTTTTGCCTACCAACCTCTCTTGGAGTAAGTCACATCTCAGACGAAGGCTCGATGGTGTTTATCTGAGTCTTATCTGGTTCATTCCTGGCCTAAGTAGTGTTTATAATGTAGTAACAAGACGATCTGCCTTCCCTGTTAGTTCACCGTATCAGAAAGAGATGTGCTGCCGTAAGGCAGGGTGACACTCGCCCTGTACTGTGATAGGGCACATGTGACTCCTGAGGAGCTATGAGCTTCTTTGACCCTGGGGATGGGTGCCCTGAGTTCTGCAGTAACTATTTCTGGTTTGATTTCTCTGCTCATCTGTTAAGATTTGAGCTGCTGAGCAGTGGTGGCACATGCCTTTAATCCTAGCACTCTGGAGGCAGAGGCAGGCGGATCTCTGAGTTCGAGGCCAGCCTGGTCTACAGAGTGAGTTCCAGAATAGCCAGGGTCACACTGAGAAACCCTGTCTTGGAAGACTAGATAGATAGATAGATAGATAGATCCAGATAGATAGATAGATCCGGATGGATGGATGAAGGACGGAAGGAAGGAAAAAGATTTGAGCTATGAATGATGGCACATTTTGTAATCCCCACACTTAGGAAGTAGAATCAGGTGGATCTTGTTCAGCTTGGGCTACACAGCAAGACAAGATCTTGTCTCCAAAACTAAAGCAGCAACAACAGAAACAAGGACTTAGAAGTGCCTCATACAACAGTCATAGGCTATCTATAGCATTACACAGCCCTTTGGTTTTTTTAACTGGTCACTTCTTTTTCAATCCAGTTTAGTAGTACAGTTGGCACGAGATCTGCAGACTGACTTCTATCCACACTTCGAAGACTTCTTCATGACCATCACCTCCATCCTGGAGACGCAGGACACGGAACTGCTAGAATGGGCTTTCACCTCGCTGTCGTACCTGTACAAGTACCTGTGGAGGCTGATGGTGAAGGACATGCCCAAGATATACAGGTGACCCTTTCCTTCTGCAGTACGTTTTGATTTGCCTTCTTCCTTTGCTCTGATCCCTTCCTGACTCGAGTACCTTCCGGGTGCCGTGCTGATTACTTCCTTGCTCAGAGCTGGTTCGCCAGTCACTGTGGTCTATGTGGTCATCTGTCCGTCTACAGTGTATAGCACACCTACCTAGTTTCTTCACCACCTCTTCAAACTATCCCCACCCATCCAAGTGGACCTGGAGTTCATCACGTTAGCAGCCCCCCACCCCATGGGAACCATGATAGCTTTGACTTCTGTACCCCTTGGCTGTGTTTTGTACTGTTTCTTTGCTTAGGTCGCCCAGGCTTTATTGTAGCTCTTTGCAGAAGTGTAACCTCGTGCCCAGGTGCTTCTGCTTGGAGTTCAGAGCTGTGTGTTTACCGCGGCAGCTTTACCCATTGCTTCCTAGCCGTCTCACCGCTCTTTGAGATGTACCTCTTCCTCCTCACTATTTCCCGAGTGGGGTTATTTATTTCTACTTACTGTGTCTTTGCTCTTCCTAATAAAAAGCTCTCCACTTCACACCAAATTCATACCGCCTTTCCGATTCACTGTGGGTTTCACCGTTGCATGAAGGTTTCTTTGAAGACCAGCATCACTTAGCCTGCACTGTTGTCTCTGGCCTCAGCCTGGCATTGGGCTGTCTCTGATCGTATGTGCCTTCCCAGCACTGTCAACAACACTGCTGACATGGGGCGCGTCTGTACTAAACAATTCTGTTTTCCTCCTTCTACAGCTTGTACAGTGCCCTCTTGGCCCACAAAAAACTACACATAAGAAATTTTGCTGCCGAAAGTTTTACTTTTTTGATGAGAAAGGTTAGTCTGATATTTTATGTGCTTATGGTAGTGAATTGTCAAGAGTCTGATGACCGGGATGGCTGTCTTTTTAAATGGAACCATGAAGTCACCTTTTGAAAGAGAAGCTTGTTTCTGTTTTCAGCTTATTTCGCCCTTAGGTTTAGTCTTTGCTCCCTAATCTGTGAGCTCTAATTTGGGTCATTCTGTTAGTTATGTTTTCATAGCTCTCAGTGTATATAATATAATATAATATAATACAATACAATATAAAGTGCCCTTTGGTTTAAGTCAGTGAAGGGATTTTCTGCAAGGAAACGCTAGCATAGTATATTTATGTTTGTCTAATTTCTTCCTGGTGAATTTTAGGTTTTGGTAACACATAAAACATTAGTATTAAGTTTCTTTGTGCACATAAAATGTAAATACGTGGTTTACTGTAAAAGATAGAATGTTGCCTTATGCTGATTTTCCTAGCACGTGCCTTCATATCATACCAATGAGTCCGTCACCCTCCTGTGACAATTACAAGGGCGAGTGCATGGTCCTAGTCGTTTGAAATCACCTCTGTTCCTGGCAGACATTTTCAGAGCCTATTTAAATATGGGTATATAAAATAGGAAGTATGGGTTCTAATTTAGACATACTTGTATTGTAAATGCAATTTTCCATTTCTCATTCTAGGTCCCTGATAAAAATGCTCTTTTCAATTTAATGTTTCTCGATCTCAGTGAGCATCCAGAAAAAGTGGAAGGAGTTGGACAGTTGCTCTTTGAAATGTGCAAAGGAGTCAGAAATATGTTTCATTCCTGTTCAGGCCAGGTAAAGAGGGGACAGATGCCTGGAGTCTGTGCAGGCGGCATAAACAGAAGAGAACAGCACAATGGTGGGGGGTGGGGGAGGAAGCACAGAGGAAGCACAGCCCAGAGAGTGTCGGGACTTATAATGTGGACTTTGGGTGCTTTTCCATGCAAAATCGCCTTGGTCTTCTCAGCCCTGAGAACTTAGCTGCTCTAGCGTCAATTGAAGGTCATGGGTAGAGGGGAAAGGCTGTTCTGTGATAAACTCCACATCCTAAGGCTAGTCTCTGTGGTTGGTACTCACTTGTAATCCCAGCACCCAGGATGTTGAGGCAAATGGATCGTGATTTAAGCACAAGCTGGGCTACAGAGTTAACACTCAAAGCTGCCATAGCCTCGATTATTCCGTGCTGTTTTTGATAAAATCAGCGTGATAAACCATAGCTTAAGACTGTCTTTTAAAAGCTTTTTAATTGCTTTCTCTTGCATTCCCACAGGCGCTGAAGCTCATTTTGCAAAAGCTAGGACCAGTTACCGAAACAGAAGCTCAGCTACCATGGATTTTAGTTGGGGAAACCCTGAGAAACATGGCCAGATCCACTGTAGGCTATATCTATAAGGAACACTTTGGTGTGTTTTTTGACTGTTTGCAGGTAAGTTCTAAGAATGGATATGTAGCAGGACGCCTGCATACCCTTTGTCGTTGCTCTGCGCTGAGCTGAGCACTGTTGGAGATTGTATTTCATCATCATCTCCTTTGTTCATCTCCCTACACATCCGTCTCCTTTCTTCCCCTGCAGTCCTTTACTTATGTATTTATTTTCAGTGTGATACCTTGTGGTGCAGTGGAACGTGGTGGCGGAGAGAACTGGCAGGTTTCCTGTTTGCCTCTTGGTACTGCACTACAGGTGTGAGTGCCTGCCGCTCCGTGTTTTCCTATGATAACGTGGGGCTGACGTTACCTGTGTCAGGGTCGCTGTGAGGGTGTTGAGTGAATACTTCCAAAGAACACAGACAGCGCTCAGCAAACACTAGCTGCCACTGTGCAGCGATGCCCGAATATGCTCCCTTCTTTCTTTAGTTAGCAAGAGTGTGAGAAGGCGAGCTGTCACTGGACATCCATTATCGCGTGAGCAAATAAATGGTTTGGGGTTTTGTAGTTACTCAGTCTCTCGATTTCTTGATTTGAAGGAATCCCTCCTGGAGCTGCACAACAAAATGACGGAAATAAACTGCTGTGAGAACTCTGAACAGATCAGTCGGCTGCTGGAAACCTTCCTGATCCTTGTGAAACATGGAAGTGGCTCAAAAATAACACGGCCTGCTGACGTTTGCAGGGTGCGTCTGGTGTGCTTAGGAGTCTGTTGACGGCTGGCGCTGGGGTGTAGCGCTGTGTTGTGCACTCACCTGCGGTGTCCAAAGGCCTGACGATCCCAGCGCTGGGGTGTAGCGCTGTGTTGTGCACTCTCCTGCGGTGTACAAAGGCCTGACGATCCCAGCGCTGGGGGTGGGGCCGGAGTGTGGATTGCTAGAAGTGCCTTGTTCTTTCTTCCGCTATTACAGGTGCTGTGTGAAGCATTACAGACAGCCAATCTTGCCACTTCTTGCCGGAAGACTCTCTTGGACGTAGTTTCTGCTTTGCTCCTAGCTGAAAGTGTTTCCTTGCCAGAGACCCTCATCAAAGACACCATAGAAAAAGTAATTTACTTCACCAGAATGTTACCTGTGTGGCTAATAATGTGTTTAGCACTGAGTAGCCCTGCTGAGAAACACAGATGAAGCATGGCAAAGGCTTTGCCCCCAAGGGGTTGATCTTGCTAGGGAGATGGGAGCTGCATGCCATCATGGAAACACGCAGGATGAAGGGCAGCTAGATCTCAGAGCAAACATTAGTGAACGCGTCTAGCTTGCTGTGCAGTGGGTGTGTGCTACATGTTCCAGGGTGGGGAAGATGCCTCCCATTCTGACTGGGTAAGGGAGCCAGGAGTGAGTCGTTAACAACACACTGAACTGATAGCTGAGAGATGTCTATCGATTTGTAGTTGTTAATTCTACCTACTGGGGAAGAGAGAAAGCTTTTCAAAGGATGTGGACTTGGAGTGGTACTTAAAAGTTTCTTTTTTTTCTTTAACTTTTTAAAATTGTTTTTATTGAGATATATATATATATCCCACTCCCATTTCATCCTCCTAAAAGTTTCTTAACAGATTGCCAACAGGAACAAATCACCTGACAAAGGGACTTTAACGACTGACTTGTGTTCACGAATGCATGTAGTCTGGGCACACAGGCACTTGAGAGAGTATAACACCACAGCAGCGGAGCTCTCTTGGCTTTGAACACCTAGGCTCTGTCCTGCAAGTAGGGAAGGCCCCCAAGGAATGCTAAGCCAGGTCATAGCTGCTGTTTGCATTGTCATGGGTTTCGAAGTATGTTGAAATGGGACTGAAAATGGAAAACTGAGTTTCCATGGAACCCGCTGGTTTTCTTGTAGCTGGGAAGGAGACAAGCAGCTTTGGGCCTGCAGTAGTCACTGATATACCGTGCTCTGCTTCTGGGTTCCTTCAGAGCAGGTCAGACCTCTGGGTGGATGCTGGCTGGCATGTGGTGTCCCTGCCGTCCCTTCTGTAGTTACACTGGGGCTGGGGGAAGGACTGCTGTGCGCTTTTATAAATACGTTTTATCTTTGCTTCACAGATATTTGAAAGCAAATTCGAGAGACGTTTGATTTTGGATTTTTCCGAAGTCATGTTTGCTATGAAGCAGTTTGAACAGGTAAACAAGACATTAATTTTAGGGTACTTTTTAAATATTCCATGATATAATCAAATTTGAAATAATGTCATTTCTTTTTGTTACTTTTTGAGAGGAACAGAATTAGTGCTTGCTGTTTTAGCTTGTATAATTTTAAAGCAATTATATTCAATCATAGGTTATAGGGGCTACTTTATATGCTAAGTCATTTTAAATGCTTTGTGTCCAGGTTGGACTCTAATCCCAGCTCTTAGGAGCTGGAGGCAGGAAGACTTGTCAGGGTGCTTAAGGCTGTCCGGGCTGTTTAGACACTGTCTCTAAAACCAGCACTGCGCTGACAGTAGGCTAGGCTGCAGTCATTCTCCATGCACTGCGCTGACAGCAAGCTAGGCTGCAGGCATTCTCCATGCACTACGCTGACAGCAAGCTAGGCTGCAGGTCAGTCTCCATGCTCTGCGTTGACAGCAAGCTAGGCTGCAGGCATTCTCCATGCACTGTGCTGACAGCAAGCTAGGCTGCAGGCATTCTCCATGCACTGTGTTGACAGCAAGCTAGGCTGCAGGCATTCTCCATGCACTGTGCTGACAGCAAGCTAGGCTGCAGGCATTCTCCATGCACTGTGCTGACAGCAAGCTAGGCTGCAGGCATTCTCCATGCACTGTGTTGACAGCAAGCTAGGCTGCAGGCATTCTCCCTCACAGTGTTCAGAGTGCTGCCAGGCTGTCCTCTAGCATCTGTTGTTCATGTGGAGAACTTTGAGGCTGATTCTTTGCTGGGAACTGCTGAAGTGCTGTGATCTCTCTTCTGGTCTCTGGAATCTGCCCCTGTTAATGAGCATCAATCCTTTCTTTGTCTTCAGCTGTTTCTACCAAGCTTTCTCTGCTACATTGAGACTTGTTTTTTGATGGACGACTCTGTGGTCTCCGACGAAGCACTGGCCATTTTAGCCAAGCTTATTCTGAATAAAGCTGCTCCTCCCACTGCTGGCTCCATGGCCATTGAGAAATACCCTCTGGATTTCTCACAGCAGGCTGTGGGGTAAGTTCTGAATCCATTCCCTGTGGTAAGATTATCCATTGCTAATAATTGAATGTTCGAGTGTACAGCCCAGGATGAAGATCTTATGTGTTCTCTAGAAGGATGTCCATGACAGAGTGTTGTGCCTGTGCACAATTCGGAAGATTGCAGTTTACTAGGTTTAAAATGGTGTTGTGCACATGAGTGTGGAGAATGTGGATGGAGACACAAATCTGTCAGCTGTGTTTATCTCAGAGGGTGATTAGCTGGGCGGTGGTGGCGCACACCTTTAATCTCAGCACCTGGAAGGCAGAGGCAAGGGGATCTCTGTGAGTTCAAGGCCAGCCTGGTCTGCAAAGCGTGTTCCAGAATAGCCAGGGCTGTTAAACACAGAGACCCTGTGTCATAAAATCAAAAACGAAAAAAAGAGGTGATTATTAATTCTTTTACCTCTTAACATCTTTTTATATTTTTTTATATATTTATAGTATGTATTTATATTTAACGTCTTTTAATTTTACATCTCTGTGTAAGATGTGGTAACATCTTTCATAATCTGCTGAGATTAGGCAATTAGAACTGGACACAACTGTGTAGCCTCGCTCACACCCCTCAGTGCGCACTCCCCTGAGCACTGTCCACATGTAGGCCTCTGGGTCTGTGCAGGTGATCCATCACTCAGCAGACTGTCACCACACCTGGAGGCACAGAAGTGCTCATCCTTGTCCCTTTCTGTTCTCCAGTTTTTAAGAATTGAAAGACAGTTGTATCATTTTTCCCTCCAGCCTCTTCCCCTCCCCTACTCACTTCACAGTTGGTGGCACACCGATAGCCGTGCTCACACTTCATCGTAGCCCTGTGCTCACATTCGGCACTCCCGTTTTATACGCATGCACGTGGCTGTGAGCGTGTCCTATGAGAACTGCGCCGTGTTCCCTCTGCAGTTGGCTGCTTTCTCACCTAGCACAGTTCCTTTGAGATTCTCTCCATTGCCCTGTCAGTGACCTTGCTCCTTTGTTTCTGAGGAGGATTCCCCAGTAAGAACGGACACTTGTTTCCTCATTCACACGTGGAGGAACAGTTAGTTATTTCTGTTGCTTGGCCATTGCACGTTAGGCTATTGTGAACGAACAAATGTTGTTTTCAACTCTGTAAATATCCCAAAGTGGAATTTGGGGGTTTATGATCAGTATGAATTATAATCTACTTCTTGTAAATGGCTGTGAAGGCATGGTTTGAAGAAGCAAATACAGTTTGTTTATTCATGACAGAAACAACAGTTCTATAACACATCTTGAAAACATGAAAAGTGCTTTTTGTTTTTTTTTTTTTTTTTTTGCTTTTGAGACAACTCACTATGTAGCTCGCTCTTCCCTCCCTCCCTCCCTCCCTCCCTCCCTCCCTTCCTCCCGTGTCATATGAAGTATGTAACTCATTCTGCATTAACTGTTGTGTGGAGGCCGAGGTTTAGGCCTGCTGGCTGCTGGCTGCCAACTCACTCTGGCAGCGTTTGTTGAAGGCTGCGGTGCTGCCCTTGTGCCTGTTTCTGGCCTGTGTGGTCCACAGTCTCCTCCGTTTGTGCCGTTGTGTGAGAGGCTCTTTCCTTTTTCTGTGAGGTGGGGGGTGACCTCTCTGACAGGTTAGAGGATAGCTTTTGTGAGTAGGGTTCTTTCCTTCTGCTCTGTGGGCTCTGGGACTCAAACCCAGATCATCGGGTTTGGCAACAAGTGCCCTTACCCGCTGAGTCGCCCCACAGGCCCCATTCCTCTGTGTGCATACTTTGTGTTTGATGGAGTGGCTGTACCTGTTGCCACTCTTGTGGTTTGCTCTGAGACACTAGGGTTGGTGGGTGGGGTTCTCTGAGTTTGTGCTAACTACTTGGCTTTGAACCTGGCTGCCTGCTCTGGGTGAGGAGTTTGTCCCTACAGCCACACACACAACATTTAGTTTTGAATTAGCACTTGCCTCCTTAAAACCTGCGTACATCTCCTACTCTGGAAGCGGTTTCTCTGTCAAATGTGCCTGAGCAGAGCCCTGCTGTCTGTACCCGAGTCTGGCTCCTGAGATGTGGGCAATGAGTAACCCTGGAGAATCATTTCCTTGGGTCTTCTGTCTTGATTTCACAACCCACAGCCAGTCTCCAGCAGGCACATTCTTGTGAGTGACCAGAACTCTGGGTTCTGTGCCATGGAGCTTTGTTCTCGTGTTCCCCTCAGGAAATCCAAGGGATTGATGAGGCCGCTTGTCACACCTCACAGTTCTTTAATCCTCCTGAAAAAAGTACAAAGTAAAAATATTAGATCCTTCAATCCAAAGCTAGTGTGACGACTTCGACATCACTCTCTGAGAAAACATCCCCACCCCCACCGCACCAGATGCAGTCTGTGTGAATGGTCGCCTTTGTCCTAACTCTTAGCTGAGAATGGTGACATGTGTTTGCTCACAGATACTTGTACACTCTCTTAGAATCCAAACAAGGAGGTGTCGAGAGCAGACTTGTATTACAGGCCAAGCTAAGCAACGCTGTGAGTCTGAGGTGAGCCTGGGATCCATAGTGAGACCCTGTCTCTGAAACTTCAGAGTTTCCCTACTGTCCAGACGTCCACCTCCCAGAACCAGCAGGAGAAAATGGATGTGAGCACGCTTGTCTGGAGCCTCTTGTAGCACTGCAGGCAATGGGTGTAACTGAGTGAGAGAAGCCCACATAGTTAGGGAAATAATGTTGCTGTGGAGAGGGCCTGGTGAGGCAATGAGCAAGGCAGGGGAGAGAGGACCAGGCCTTGCTGGACTTACTGCGTTCAAGACTCAGGCGAGGAGGGCAGTTAGCTGCAGGACAGTAGAGAGCAGATAATGCCTCATTTAATTGCATCATCTCAGTAGTCTGTATTTTATAGATTGTCGAGTTATGCTCATTGCCAGAAAGACTAGCCAGATAGAGCGACTAGCTGGGCACTGGCCGCACACGCCTTTAATCCCAGCACTTGGGGATGGGGGAGGGGAGCAGAAGCAGGCGGATCTCTCTGAGTTCCAGGCCAGCCTGGTCTACAGAATGAGTTCTAGGACAGCCAGGGCTACACAGAGTATGATGTCTAATGAATTGATGGTTAAATTAACTTATTTGTCTATTATTTACAAATATTCTGTGTCCTGAAAAGTATCAAACGAAAGAAAAGTGACTTTTCATTGATTCAAATAACAAAAGTTATTTCAGTTTTCTACTTTACAAATTAACCAAACTGGACGTGGAGGAAGAGTTCTAAGGCATATTACCTATCATTCCTATGGCTTTGCTGCAAGAGTAGAAAAGGGGTAGTTCACACGTACCCAAAGACAAGTGCTGAGTCAGAAAACATCACCCAATAACCTTGTGCCACGTTAAAGTCAGAGAACTGTCTATCATAATTGATTATGATTAAAGTGGTATTTGCCATTTTTACTATGGTAACTTTGACATCATTCTTCATTTGGAAAACAGTTGACATTCATATAAAAACAAAACAGGTGGTCATCGATTGCAGTGGTTCTGTCTCAAGTAAATAAGAAATGGGGAGCAGAGGCAGTCGGGTTGTTCCAGTCCCTAGGAGCTCTGCACAGCAGTGCCCAGAACTAGAAAGGACTTGGTCTAAGTTAGAAATAGATTGAAACAGAGAAGCAGGTCAGGCACGTTGACGAGCCTGTAGCTGCAAGATTTTTCTTTGCATTCCTTCCTGCATTCAAGGTGTGTCCTTTCAAACTTGTGGCTGTAGTAAATACCTGTCCATTGTTTTTACCTTCAGGTCCTACTTAAAGCAGAGGAAGACTAACTCCAAGAGAAGGGAACAGTCTCCAGTGCTAGACCATCTCTTGTCCATAGTTCAGTTACCCCCAAGTAACGACGCCAGATACCTTTCACAGTCTTGGGCAGCCCTGGTGGTATTACCTCATATCAGGTAAGAAAAGAAGCTTTAGTTTTACTGGTGTTTAACATTTCAGTTAAAATGGTAAACGTTCTTTGCCATCCTGAGAATAAGCCATTACATAGGAATTTGAGAATTTCCCTTTTTCTCTGCACATCTTGCTCAGGCCTCTTGAGAAGGAGAAAGTGCTGGCTCTCCTGTCGTGCTTCATAGAGTCGCTCTTCGTGGCTGTTGACAAGGGGAGCTTTGGGAAAGGTCAGTGACAATCAGCACTTGTTCTCTGCTTGGCCTTTCTGGCACACGCAAAGTAAATGTAAACACGTGTCATGCCAGGGACCAGCACCAACACTATTCTGCTCTCACTCCCTGCATAGAAAATGCGTTTGGCAGGGACATGTGTCACTTGTGCCCCATAATGTGGTGCCCCGGTCCGAGTTGCCTGAACACAAGGAAAGTCAAGTATCAAGAGAGTGTTATAACATGGTCCTCCTTCCCCTTAAATACAACTGCTCCCAGCTGCTTCATTTACTCACCCGGAACCCAACGCCTTATTCATACGTGTGTTCCTTCTGCCTGAGAACCTTCCTAAGTGCCTTATTCAGCACTCTTTCCCATCCTCACACTGCTCAGGCTGGCTGCTTGTTGCTGTGATAAACACCATGCCCACAGTGGTGCAGGAAGGAAGAGTTTGTTAGCTTACACTTCCGGGCAGTACATAATGGCAGGGGAGACTTGGCAGCAGGCAGCCAGAGAAGGAGGCTGAGAGATTGCTTCCAGCAGCAAGGCTCTGTATCCTAAAAGTTCTAGAACCTCCTCTAAATATCACCACCAGCGGGGACCATGTGTCTGTGGTGGGACCTCATTCTTTCTCATCCAGACCAGCACAGGTGCATCACTAGGAAGACCTACCTGCCTCCTGTAGGCAGGGATAGGTTGTCATACTCACAGTTACTGTTGGATTGCTGTTAACTGAATATCTTGGTGAGAACCTACTGGATATGTGACTTATAAATTGAAAAATAATTTTTTAAAAATATTTATTTATTTATTATGCATACAATATTCTTTCTGTGTATATGTCTACAGGCCAGAAGAGGGCACCAGACCTCATTACAGATGGTTGTGAGCCACCATGTGGTTGCCGGGAATTGAACTCAGGACCTCTGGAAGAGCAGGCAATGCTCTTAACCACTGAGCCATCTCTCCAGCCCGAAAAATAATTTTTGAGCATGAGAAATTTTATATACAGATAACTGAGTTTTGAAAGGTCCAGGCCTACTGTTTCAGAGAGTTCAAGTCTGCCTGACGCTGGAGGGTGCACTGTGTCCCTCAGTTGAAATGCTCAGGACCAAAAAGTACTACTTCAGGTTTTGGAATGTGTACCTGTATTTGACGGATTGAGAGCTCTAACCTGAAAAATCCCAGGTCCGCCATGTGACTCTGAAGCTGAGTTCACAGCACAGCCAGGCTCAGACATTAGGTTTGGGGTAGAGATCTTGACCTGAGCTAGCTTCTTGTCTCAGTCAGTGGCATGAACTTTTATTCTCTGCCTTGGACATGTGTTCACTGTAAGAAAGAGTATGTGTGACTTGGACTTTCTGTTGCTCTCTGTCACGCCCAGATGTCACTTCAAATGTGCTTCTGTAAATGGTGCTGGGGATGGGGTGCTTCACAGCCTAAAGGAAGCAATGTGTTTTTCCTTTCTTTCTGCCTTTAGGATGCTTATTTGTTCTTTGTCAAGCTGTAAACACTCTGCTGAGTTTGGAGGACTCTTCTGAACTTCTGCACCTGGTTCCTGTGGAGCACGTGAAGAATTTAGTGTTGTAAGTAAACAACTTCCATTTGTCTTAGTGGTGAGCAAAGTATAAAAGGCTCCCATTTTTGTGGAAATCTTTACAATCAATAATATACTTGAATATTATTATTAACAGAAATCTTTCTAATCAATCTTATACCTGAATAGAGTCACATGGGGAAATTAAAAGTTAATATTAGATCCTTCAACTAAAATAAGTAATTTTTGACAAATTTTAAGTATTTTAAGTATATAGTCATCTTTGAAAAGAAATACTTGATTACGTGCCTAGGATTTAGGTTATAAAGTTAAAATGCCAGCTGCATTTCTTTTAAACAGGGTCTCTCCACATAGCCTTAAAACTCAAAAGGTAGATTAGGGTTGCCTTGAACTCCAAGAACTGTATCTGCCTCTGCCTGCCAACTGCTAGGATTAAAGGTGTGTGTCACCATGCCCAGCACTGCTGGATTTAAAAGGAAGAGAAAGTTATTTTATTCGATGGTGCTAAGAATGGAACCCAAAGCCCCAAGACACAAGCTCTCCACTGTAGAATTAGCCTCCCCAACCTAGCACCCCAGTGTCAGCCTCCCCAACCTAGCACCCAGTGTCAGCCTCCCCAACCTAGCACCCAGTGTCAGCCTCCCCAACCTAACACCCCAGTGTCAGCCTCCCCAACCTAACACCCCAGTGTCAGCCTCCCCAACCTAACACCCCAGTGTCAGCCTCCCCAACCTAACACCCCAGTGTCAGCCTCCCCAACCTAGCACCCAGTGTCAGCCTCCCCAACCTAGCACCCAGTGTCAGCCTCCCCAACCTAGCACCCAGTGTCAGCCTCCCCAACCTAACACCCCAGTGTCAGCCTCCCCAACCTAACACCCCAGTGTCAGCCTCCCCAACCTAACACCCCAGTGTCAGCCTCCCCAACCTAGCACCCAGTGTCAGCCTCCCCAACCTAGCACCCAGTGTCAGCCTCCCCAACCTAGCACCCAGTGTCAGCCTCCCCAACCTAGCACCCAGTGTCAGCCTCCCCAACCTAGCACCCAGTGTCAGCCTCCCCAACCTTTCATGACTCACTCACTCTACATGCTCCATCCTCTTCCTGGTCTGCTCCAGCGTGTTGTGACCTGCATATCTGAGGTCCTTTGCTCTATGATAAAATGGTCTGGTTTGGTTTTTCTGGCCTGCACATTTATTTTGACCAACCTCAGACTCTGGAGTAGCACTGGTTCGTTATTGAGAGGCCTGTTTTGGTTCCTGGTAGGTTGAGGCTCAGGCTATGGCTAAGCAACGTGCTGTTCATGAGGCAGCCCCCAGCAGAGTGTTCCTACCCTCAATGCTAGTATTGTTGGGCAACACTCCGCCTGTGGTAACCCCTCATTGGGAATAAAATGTGAAGTCTTCATCAAGCCCTCTGACTTTTTATGATCTAACTCCTCTGTTTCTGACGTCTCCCATGTCTCCTTGTTCACTGGGCCCCAGCCGCACTGGGCTCTAATGCTCTTCTAGGTGAGAATGCATCGGAGCGGGCCTTGGCTTCACTCTTCTGCCTAGAATGCTTTTTCTTCAGATCCCCTTATGCCCGCTCTCCTGTTTCCTTCCAGTTCTGTGACTGCCCTGTATCAAATGAACTCCACTTTGCCCACTGGCCCCTGCCTGCTGCTCTCTCCTTGTTTCTTCTATAGCCTCCTTCCCCCGAATGCTCTTCTCCCCAGCATTTATCACTGATCTACTGAACTGTGCTGTGGCTACCATTTCCTAGAGATTTGAGTTTCAGGAAAATAAGAACTTTGTCCTTGGTTTACTTTCTATCCAGTGTCTAGGAAAACTGCCGGCCATGCTAGGTTCTCAGACCATGTCTGAATGAAGTTGGCATATAGAGGGTCTCTGGCGTGTCACAAGGGAGAGTACAGAAATGAACTGCGCTGTTTCTCACCAGCTCAGCGCCTGGCATGCAGTGAGCACTTCACAAATTTCACATGTCCTCTTCGTATACAGCTGCCACTCACAGCTGTGGGTTGGGGTGGCAGCTTTGGCTGTTCTAGTCCCCCGTCTGCCTCTAGCCAGCTGGTTGTATCCGAGCACGTTTCTCGGTAGGCATAGTCTTCGGAAGCTGTAAATGATGTTGGCAAGCTCTGTAAAACTTGAAGCCTGTTGCATTTTATATTTCCCTTACCAGCGGACATTTCTGGGTACTTAGCGGTGTGATGGTGCAGTTGGAATCTCATAAATATCTTGTTGCAGAACATTTCCGACGGAGCCATCTGTGTTGCTGTTGGCTGATCTCTATTATCAGAGGCTAGCGTTATGTGGATGCAAAGGGCCACTTTCTGAGGAGGCCTTAATGGAATTATTTCCCAAGTTACAAACAAACATTTCAACTGGTGTCTCCAAGGTAATACTGCATTATAGGTTCGGCTCGTGAACACCTGGCTCCTCATCACAGACACTGGTGTGGGATTTCTGTCAGAGCAGTGATTGCTAAACACACAGACCCATCACAGCAAGACTGCTTAGGGTGGTCAGTAAAATTACAGGTCCTAGGGTTCTGCTCCAATTCTCTTCCAATTCAGTAGAACTGGGGTAGAAAAAATAAAATAAAATAATTTTTCTTTAATTTATGTACTCATAGATGGTAGTTGATTGACTAGATCTCCATTATAACAGCCTTGCATAGTGCGCATTTTATGGACTAGATAATTGTGCTTGTACTTACTAATAGGTAAACACCTATTCATATCTTACAACTTAAAACTAGAAGAATGTGTTCTTTCAATTTTTTTATAAAGAAAACTTAAGCCAGGCATAGTGGCGCACGCCTCTAACCCCAGAAGTCAGAAGAAGGATCTCTTTGAGGCCAACCTGGTCTGTGTAGTGAGTTCCAGGACTGCCGGGGCTGCATAAGACCCTGTCTCAAAGAAGAAAAAAAGAATTTAAGGTAGTTTGCCTCCTCATTCAAGTGTGTGGAAATACCCACGAGACTAAGGGGTGTGGAGCCGTGGCGGTAGCTGAGTTATGGCGTGTTGAGCGGCCTTACCCACGCGGTCTCATGCTGTCTTGAACTCAGTTACTGTTTGAATTAGGTACTGGTCGTTGTTAGATACAAGACAAGGACAGAAAAGGCCAGTTTTACTCTGATCAGTAGTAGCCCTTAGGTCTGTGAGACTGCTCCTCGGTGTCTTCCTTCACTTACACTCTGCCATTGAAATCTCCCCTGTACTTTCTCTAGATCCGGCTCTTGACAATTAGGATCCTAAATCATTTTGACATCCGACTTCCAGCTTCAGTGGAGGTATTGTAATTATTAGAGTGGATAGTTTAAGACAAACATAATTTACACATTTTTGTAAATTTTCAAAATGGTATCTTTGCTATGTAACTATATATGGCTAAACTATATAAATATTTATAGTAAAAGTTGGTATTCTTGGAATCCATATTCTTGCCTACCACTAAGTCTACTAAATGTTCTTCCAAATCTTGCGGGTAGCATACATGGTGGGAGCTCATGTTAGATGGAGTCTTCCTTGTTATCGGTGCCTCTGGTTTTACCTCTTTCTTTAGAAGTGTAAATAGTGCCCACAGTTTAGACTCTTACTGATTCCTCTGATGACGGAAGTGGGTTAGTTAACAACATTTCCAAGTGTCTTACCCAGCACCGCAGTGAGCGCCCTTAGATGGATATTTTCATGTATAGAACTGTTTCCATGATGCAAGTAGTAGAAATAGAATTGCACAGTGAGAATATATATTTTCTGTGTGTGTCTGTAATAGTAGATAGGTAGACAGATAGCTATATAGGTACGTAGGTAGATAGGTAGTAGATGCTAGGTAGTAGTCATTTGGAACCCTTTAGACAGTTTCCCATTTACTCTGTATGTGTGTGCACATACATTTAGTGCACATGGATGTGGAGGCCAGAGGTTGATGTTGGGTGTTTTCTATTGTTCTCTGCTTTATTTTTTAATTTAAAATATAAATATATCACTTACTCCCTCTAACCTCTCCCATGCCCCCCGCCACTTCTTTATTGTTAAATATATTTAAGTATGAATAAATTTATAAGTGTAACTGCTAAGTCCATTTACTGTCGTTTGTATGTATGTGTGTTTAGAGCTAATTTAAAAATTATTTTTAATTTTAAGTTACTGTATATTATATTTATCCATATGGATGTTTTGCGTAGATGTATATCTGTGTACTGTGTGCATGCCTGTTGCCCAAGCAGCCCAGAAGAGAACATCAGATTTCCTGGGCTGGAGATACAGATAGGTTATGAGTCACCGTATAGGTGCTGGGAATTGAGCATTGTCCTCCAGAAGAGCAGCCAGCTCTTAACTGCTGAGCCACCTCACCTCTTCTGAGACAAGGTCTCCCTCCCTCTGACTAGCTAGGCTGACTGACCCCTGAGCTCCAGGAGTCTGCCCTTCTCTAACATATTCTAAGTTGAGTTTTTTTGTTTGTTTTGTTTTTCTTTTCTAAAACCTTAAAGCTAAGCTGAGCATAATAATGCACACATTTAATCCTAGTACTCAGGAGGTATAAGTAGGTGAATCTATAAGTTTGTGGTCAGCCCAGACTGCATAGGGAGTTCCAGACCAGCCAGGACTCTCTCAGAAAACCACCCGTCTAGCCATGCCTCACATCCCTCCTGGGGTCGGTGTTTGAGCTGCCTTGGCTTCTGTCTGCCTCTGCAGGACGATGGGCTCTCGGAGCCGCAGTCAGCCTTCGTCATCCTGCGCCAGGCAGAGCTGGTGCCAGCAACTGTGAGCGACTACAGAGAGAAGCTGCTCCACTTGAGAAAGCTGCGGCACGACGTGGTGCAGGATGCAGTCCCTCCGGGACCACTGCAGGAGGTGACAGTGGTGTCTGTCTGTCTGTCTCTCTTTAAAGTTGTTTCTTAAATTATGTTTTAAATCGTATTTTGGCGATCATACCAGATAGTTTTCAATCATGAAAATGTTCTCCTTTTAAGTAAGGCGAACCTTGCTTCTCTTCCATGCTTTGTGTTAAGTTGCTCTCTCAGCCTATGAAATCAGGTGGTGTCCTTTTGTGTATGTGAAGGCCTGACACAGCGACCATCATTTTCTGTGCTTTGCTGTGGCTACTAACTCCAACAGCTCGTTTCCCTTGGGTCTCTCTTGTTTCTTACCTAGCTATAGCACGTGGGCATTTCAAAATGGAGTACTTCACTTTCAGCAGTTGTCTGGCTTCAAGGGCCTCCCCCCAAAAGAAAGGAAAGAAAAAGAAAGGGAAGTTGTTTTGTTGACAGAATAGTTCAAAAATGTTGGTTCTGTCCTTTAAAGGATGTCCTACAGGGTAGAGTGTGATTGGTGGGATGGGTTAGGTTGCAGGAATGTGAAGCAGAGCTGACTCTGGCCCTTGACATCCCCACACCAGCTTAAGTAGATTATCATGATTATCGAGTAAAGAAAGATTGGCACCACCATTTCCTTGTTTGTGAATTAGGAAAACAATAGACTGTGCTCCACTGTGACCAAAGGAATTGTGTGAGATAAACTTAAAATCCCAGTATAAAATATGCTACCATCTAAGCACGTTATGGTAACTATTAAGGTTGTTAACACTAATTAATTATGTTAATCTTTCATCAAACATTATATTGACTAATAATGACCTGGGTGCTGGTGATAAACATCACAGCGAAAGTCCAGCCTCTGCCTTCAAAGGGTGATGTCATGGGCAAGGACTAGGGGACCTTCCAACCACAGGGAGCATGCCCTTTGGTACCTGCTCAAGAGTGTGTACTCTTCTCAGATTTCTAGAAGGGCGAGGTTTGGCCTTGTCTTGAAGGAGACAATAATGTCCCATTGTAGCGGAAGAGCTGCAAAGGAAGCCAAGGTTACCCAGGGAAACTGCAGGTGGATGTGCTCCCAAGGCTCGGGGGATACTGATTCCATATTCCACATTGATGTCACAGATGGACGCTTCCCTTGCCCCAGCCGTCCTGCTGTCTTTGATAGGTGAATTGCTTTGCTCATTCATTACCTGCGGGTCACAATACTGGCCTTCTTTCCGTCCAGAAGTTAGAGTTATACATTTCTTGAGGGATTTAGGTCTTCTCTTAGTCATCCGAGCACAGCAAGGGTGCTCCATGGAGTCGGCTTTCAGTGGATAGTGTTCTGTGTGATCTCTCCTGGGAAGAGAATCTCATCATTTCCTTTATTATATGTTATTACAACAAAATGACTAAAAACATAGGAACGATTTCATAGACATATTCTAGACATTGGCCTAAAAGGCAAATGCCTACTAAACCCATTGAAAGTAGACTAGGAAAACATGGTCCCCTTCCCGTATCAAGACCATTGCATGTTCTAATGGTCTCTGTGGCTGGGTTTGAGGATTCGGAGGATGGCCATGAAGCAGGGAAGAGTCAGAGTGGTCACATTTTGTGTTGCCTGTAAAATACACAGAAAACTCTAAGAATGAAATACTCGTCGTAGTTTATCCTCATTTCTGCCCTTGGCATTCAAGAAAGGACAAGTTGCCTGTTATTTTCTGGAGTCTCTTCCTTGAGAGAGAACATTTGAAAGTCACGTGCTGAATTTAGGCACTGCACACTCAGAAGGACAGGGAATGGCAGGCAGAGCATGGTCCTCGGCAGAGAAGAAAGCTCAGGCAGTGAGCTCCACCTTTGCTCCGGATCACATGGCGCCTAGCTGGCTGGACGGACACAGCCGCGGTTTGGGATCGCTGCCCATGCTTGCTTCTGTGCACAGCTGCCTCGGTCGATGACAGCTCATGTAGTTCCATTCGGAACTCTAAGAGCAAGTTCATGCTAAGTAGCTTATGCAAAGAGCCCAGTGTACTTGGTAGTTCATGACTTGCCTTTCCATCTATATCCTTCCTACACGTAAGCTCATTTGGTTCTCACAGCAAAGCGTGGGCAGCATCAGTCCCTCTTAACAAAGGAGAAAGCAGACTCGTTGGCTCCTGATGAGGTGGGGCACATGTCAGGTGCAGTGTTCTTCACCACGTCCTCCTGCTGCCGCACATTGGCTTGGACTTGGAAGCTCCATAAATGAAAGCATTCCTCTTCCATCTAGTGCTGTTCTTTGCTACTTTAAATGTTAGCGTTCTTTACATGTCATTCGGAACAGAGATGGCAGCTGGAACCTGTGCCAACATCCCTCCCCCAAATTAAAAAAAAAAAATCTGCCATTCTCCATGATGGCTTCCTAGAAAATCAGGTGTTGGTGATATAAATGCTGTTTAAAGTTGACCGAGAAGGCTTCAGACCCCCACTGGACTCTCTGGAAGTTCAGTTTCAAGAATTGAGACATCTGGCCAGGCATGGTGGCACACATCTCCAGCATTTGGGAGGCAGAGGCAGGTGGATCTCTGAGTTTGAGGCCAGCCTGGCTACAGGATGAGTTCCAGGACAGCCAGGGCTATGTAAAGAGACCCTTAAAAAACAAAACAAAACAAAAACCCAGGAAGTCAAGCATCTGCTGTACAGAAGGCTTGCTTCCCTAGTACCGCATTTTTGTTGTTGTTGGTGGTGGTGGTTTTGTTGTCGTCGTTCTTCTTTGTCCACACTTCACTAATGCTTGATGCTCCCCAGGTCCTGTCGGTGTTTGTTAGGATGGGATCTCACTCCCAGTTAGACTTAGACTTTGCCAGTGAATGTCAAAAATGAGCTTGAATTCCATGCTCTAATGAATGAGTAGGCTTTTAGGAGATGAGAAAGATTATTAAACACTCAGTTCTGGGTTAGTCTCAAGAGCCTTTGTTTGCTCTTGGGCAGGCTTCTTCCTAACCTTCACTCTGCCCGTCTGTGCTGGCCTGTCACGTGTTTACTAAGCCTGTCTCTTGGACTTGCAGGTACCACTCCGTTATCTGTTCGCCATGCTCTATGTCAACTTCAGTGCCCTCTGGGACCCTGTGATTGAGCTCATAAGGTAAGCGTGGCTGTGGATGGGACCGTTCACTTTACCGACATGGAGTGGGGACGTGTTCCATCTAGGGATGACTTACGTGCACGTGACACAGCGCAGAGGAGAAGGACACTCTCTCCAGGGCCTGGTTGTTGGTAGTTTAGGTGTGTATGTATTTCTGTGCATGTAAATAATTGGGGGCTTCTCTTTTTATTTTACATGAGACTGTTTATATGATGAAAAGGTACATTATGTCTACTTTTATTTTTACAGATTAGATAACTGAACCATACTATAAAAATACGAACTTCTAAAACCCTTGTTGTTTTACATGCATGCGCACGCGCACGCACGCGCGCGCACACACACACACACACACACACAGATCCCTTTAGCTCTAACAGATAATTTTAATAGTAATAGAAAATAGCATGCGCTAGGGCTGAGATGTAGAAATCTGTCCTTTTACAAGTGTTTGTCCTTCACACTTTACTCTGGCTGTTTGTGTTTGTCAGACTGGAAATATGGCATGTGTCTTGCCTTTCTGGATCCTATTAGCTCTTACTTGACAGAAGCAGAATAAACAAATCCCTTTCCAATTTTAAACCAATTTGCCTGCTTTTACTTCCTTTCAGAGCCGTCAAACAAGTGTAGTGAAAATAAATGGCTTTTGACTTCAACCGGGTTTTTTTTTTTTTTTTTTGTTCTGTACTTTCAAAAGATAAGAAGTGACATATTTGTAATCAATGGTCCATTATCACAAATGTTGACTCCTAAATGCTTTTAAAGTCTCTTCATAGTGGCTGGGCTATTTCGCTGTTGGAGACTGTTTTCTATGTATAATATGCAACATAGGTATTTCTCATTTCTTGTGTACAGTTTATGTATATTAGGAAGTTCATGGAAAGGTGCACACCTTTAATCCCAGTGTCCAGGAGGCTAAGGCAGAGAGGATCACGGATTTTAAGTTAGCCTGGGCTACATTGCTATATGCCTCATGAAATAGGATTAGAGAAAAGGGAATGGAGAGGAAGATGAGAAGGAGAGAAGGAAAAAGAAAGGGAAATTAGTGACAGAACAGAGAACCTTAGAGATTATTAAGGTCTTTAAGCTGTAACAACAATTAAAACCAAAAATAACCCGTTATGATTCATTTCATGTCTCATCATTAAGTTCTGAAAAGTCCTGTTTGAGACAGATTCTAAATGTGTAGCCCTGGCTGTCCTGGACTAGCTATGAGGACCAGCTTGGCCTCAGACTAACACAGCTCCTGCCTCTGCCTCCCAAGTGATGGGATTAGAGGTGTGCACCACCATCCTCTGCTGGAAAGTGTATTTCAGATAGTGAATTAGCTGCAGAGAAACAGACGTTCTTAACTCTGAGTGCAACAGTTGTTTGTTCTCCTCATGGGCCCTGCCTCACACACTGTCTTTCTTAGCCTTGTCATCTTGATGTAGCCTACAGTCACCCGAGGAGGGTGTCACTGTGTGATGTTCTTCATCGGGTTGGTCTGAGGACTTGTCTTGATTGATAGTTAATGTGGACGAACCCAGCCCACTGTGGGCAGCACAGTCCCTAGGCAGGTGGTCTTGAGCTGTATAAAAAGCCAGCTGAAGGTAAGCCCGGGAGTAAGGCAGCAAACAGCACTGCTCCCTGGTTCCTACCTCTAGGGTCGTGCTTTGAGTTCCTGCCCTGACTTCCGTCAGTGAATTGTGACCTGGAAGTGCAACTCAAGTAAACATTTTCCTCCCCAAGTTGCTTCTGAGCTCCATTTCCATTACTGTATCTTAATACTAGTCTTCTATGGTGCGGAAATTCACGCATGTGTCCTAGTGCTCAGTGGTGGGGCCAGCAGATTGTGGGTTTGGGGTGTCATAGTGGGCTCTAGGCCAACTTAGACAGCATAGAAAGACTAACTCAAAGCACCTTCAACAACAAAGCTAAATAGTCTTATATATATCTACTTACATTTTTTAAAATATTCTGTAGCCATTTATGGGTATAAAAATAATTTCTGTGGGTCGGCAAGAAGGCTCAATAGGTAAAAGGTCTCACACAAACCCCATGACGTGAGTTCAATCCTAGGGTCCCACGGTAGAAGGAGAAAACCAAAGTGCCTGAATCACTGACTCCTCTGGTCTATGCACATCCACACTCACTGATACCCATCCTATGCACAGACACGTATAATGATAAAGTAAAATGAACAGTTTGTGTGATGTAGGCAGTATAGAAACTACAGAAACGTGTGAAATTTATTTTAGCCTCATGTTGAAGGCTAATCAAATTAACATTTAATTCTTGTACATTTTTCTCGCGGGCTATCTGACACTAAAGACTGTGTATCATGTGTTCTATTTTTTCTTAGTTCTCATGCCCATGGAATGGAAAACAAACAGTTCTGGAGTGTCTGCTATGAACATCTTGAAAAGGCAGCCTCGCATGCTGGTATGAGCAGGAGTCTCGAGGACTGGGGGCACCAGTACTTACCTAAGTGTTTAATTTTTACTGTGGTTTGTGCATGAAGCGGGGAAGCATGAGAAGCGTGTTCTCTCTGGTGAAGTTCTGAGATGACTGCTCTTTCCTGAGTCCTGGAGACAAGTGTCTGGTCTGAGGACAAGTCTGTGATCCACGGGCGTTAAGTTGATATTTTTCTCTTGCAGAGAAAGAACTGCAGAAGGATGTGGGAGACGAGGAGCAGTCCACTGGAGATGGAGGGGAGCCAACCCAAGAAGGGGATGTTGGCTCTCTCTACCAGCAACAGTTAACACTGAGAACCAGCTGTCGGGAGCGACTAGATCATACCAACTTTCGATTCTTGCTCTGGCGAGCTCTGGCCAAATTTCCAGAGAGAGTAGAGCCAAGGTCCAGGGAACTCTCCCCACTGTTCTTGAGGTTTATCACGTAAGTACCTAGGACCGTGTCCCTGGCACAGTGTGTGTATTGGGGGGGGGGGGGAGGTATGAGCCTCCTCCAGCAACTGAGAACTTTGTACATCTGTCATATTTCAAGCTCTTGTCGTGTCTGCAAAGTCCTGCCTCCTTGGGGAAACACTAAACGAGTTTTGTTCAGCACGTAGTTTATAAGAACAGCATACAATGGAGCTTGTAGAAATAGGTCAGGTTACCGCAGGAGAAGAGGCAGTGGAGTTTGCTCAGTTTACAAAGGCCTTACTATTTCTTGCCCTCTTCATTGTTTTGTTACTTGCCTGGGGGTAGAGTATATTTCCCTGTGACCTCATTGTGACTACTGTTTTGAGCCTCTTGACGCTGAGGAATGCGCTCTTGAAGAGCAGTGCGAGGTTTCTGAAGCCTTGTTTTGTTTGGAGTGCCTGAGTGTGAGAGTCTTGATGGCTTTGAGATTCTAACAAGGACGTGTTGTACAGAAGAGAACTAAACATTAGTGTGTGCTCTGGTGTGCCGCATCACATACGGGGTAGGCTGAGCAGAACACAAACCACAGCATGTCTGGCTGGTCCAGGAACAGCAGGGAGGCCAGGGCGAGCACTGTAGCGTGAGCCAGAGGAAGCAGTGGAGATGGAGCAGGAACTTGGCGCCAAGGCCGTGTGATAGTGCAGTCGGCCTCTGCCGTCAGAGAAGAGCGGAGTTTATGCAGAAACGTGAAGGATTTGTAGATGTGTTTGAGAACAGACTATAGAATGACGGTGGTCATGATTGTGAGGTTACAGGTGTGAGCAAGGCTCGCTGGTGGCCTGACCAAGGTTGTTGTAGTAAAGACTGATTTTTTTAAAAAGAATTCCAACTTGAAAAAAAAAATTGAAAAGATTCTAGCCAGATCAGACTGTGATTTGGAGGCAGCCTTGGTTGTAGGAACAGAAAGGAGTGGGGGAAACTGAATATCTTTCTCCAGGTTTTAGCCTGAGCAGCTAGGAAAGGCAGGTTACCATCTTAGAGACGCAGACATTGCCGTTGTGTGGGGAAAACCAAGAGGTCATTTGAATTTGTGTTCAGCTCGGGATACCAAGCAGATCTCCGAGTAGAAATGACCTGTAGACCTTAAGTTTAGAAGGTGACGTTCGGGGGGGGGGGGGGTTGACCTGCAGATGGTAAGTTGAGAAGGTGACATTCTGGGGGGAGGTGTTGACCTGCAGTTGTTAAGTTGAGAAGGTGACGTTCGGGGGGGGGGGGGGGGGGTTGACCTGCAGATGGTAGGTTGAGAACTGTCGGTAGATGAGTAGCAGCTAAAGCCGTCCAACAGTTGGAGTCTCCTCGAGAGATCAGAAAGGGAGGACAAGACTTGGCCTCTGCCTTGAAGGGAGGCCTTACCCAGAAAGTACGCCGAGGCTGTAGCGAGTTGCTCTGCGTAAGCCGGGTGGACTCTGATTAGATGAGCTGTAGAGAAAGTGAAGGAGAATGAACCCTGTGACCAAGGGGGTGCGGGGCCAGAGAGAGTGCTTCTGTTGATGGAACAGTAAACACGAACACTCTTGTTACAGAAGATCAGGAGGACAGAGAGGCCAGGTTGGTGGCGCACATCTTCAGTCCCTGCGCTGGGAGAGGAGACAGAGGCAGGTGATGTCTGAGTTGGTGGCCAGCCTGGTCTAGATAGATAGCAGGTTCCAGGTTCATCAAGGCTGAACAATGAGAACATTTCCTTAATAAAAAACAGAGACTATAGGGAGGAGAATCAGGTCAGGAAAGGTTAACGCAGACAAAACTTGCAACAGATCCGTGGTGGAAAAATAGGGTCCCCACCCCTTTTGTGGGGTAGTTGTTTGTAGAATGAGAAAAGCAGGGTCTGGCTTTTCCCTCACACCGTGTCTTAAAGGATGTGTCTGCTCTTGTGCAAGGTGGCAAGTGTGGTGTTGGTAGACTGATCGTCCCCGTCCGTCTAAGAGTACAGCCCTTCCTGTAAGGAGACTGTGGTATAGGGACAGAGAGCGGCCTGTGGTAGATGTGGAAGGCTTAGGTACTCTCATAGAACCAAGCACTAACGTTTAAGAATAGGTGACAGTTTTTGTTTTTTTCCAAACAGGGTTTCTCTGTAGCTTTGGAGCCTATCCTGGAACTAGCTCTTGTAGACCAGGCTGGCCTCGAACTCCCAGAGATCCTCCTGCCTCTGCCTCCCGAGTGCTGGGATCAAAGGCGTGCACCACCACCACCCGGCGGCAGTTTTTGTTTTATGTGCTTTTGGGTACTTGTCATTTAAAAACCATCTTTGCCCGTGACTGAAATGGAGCATTTGCCTTTCTTTCTCTCTGTCCCTGGGAGTTTCATAGTTTTAGGGCCTTTTACCTTTAGTGCACTTTTCTGTGGCGTGATGAGAGAGAGGAGTCTAGTACGTTCTTTTACACATGGTGTTCTTTCGCCCTGGCACCACTTACCAGCAAGACTGTCCTTTTTCCAGAGTTCTCAGCATGTCACTAAAAGGCCAGCACTGGCTGCGGGCCGGTCTGTACGCTAACACGGTGCTGTTTTGGTAAAGCAGCTTTTCAGTGTGTTAGGAAATTAGGTAATTGCTAATGCTTTGACTGTTTGAGGTCGTAATGCTATGCTTTGAAAGGACACTGGGAAAGTAGGAAAATACAACCCTGATACTTTAATCTTTTACTTTATAGTCCGCTGTTACCAGTTGTGCTTCCAGAAACAAGGAGGCTGATTCCACTTTGGGCTAGAGTAGACTTTTCAGCAACATGGTATTGGAACAAGCAGTCTTTACAGTTAGTGATTGACCTGTCAGTGAGAGTCTAAGGAAAGAGAGCACTGGCGTCAGGTCTAGAGAGATGATCAGTGGTCCAGAGCACTGGCTGAAAGAGCCAGGGTGCAGTTCCTAGCACACATGTGTTTCACAGCCATCTGTGACGTTAGCCCAGGGGATCCAGCACCCTCTTCTGACCTCTGTCGGTACCAGGTGCTTGTCTCCTACACAGACACACATGCAGACAAAGCACCCACTGCACGAATAAAATCATTTACAAATACTGCTATAGAGGCACCTTGATGAAGGCGCCGTGTGTGTGTGTGTGTGTGTGTGTGTGCGCCTGTCTGTCTGTCTGTCCTTTCCAAAGAAGTCTCCTCACTTGTGTGGTTCCCGCCTTCTTCCTCTGCAGCAATGAGTATTATCCAGCAGATCTGCAGGTTGCTCCAACCCAGGATCTACGCAGGAAAAGTAGAGGAGCAGTAGCTGAGGAAGTGGAAGAGGAACCCGCTGTGGGAGAAGAGGAAGAAGTGGAGGAAGAGGCAGTGCCGACCGATGAAGCACCCCAGAGGAGAAAGACAAGACGGGCAGCAGCAAAGTGAGTTCCCGTCACCGCTGGTCCCGGAGCTGCGGCTGTGTGCATGGGAAATAGCTTCCTCAAGGATGAGCGTCTCACATAATTATTGGCATGCCATGGTGCCGCTGCCGGTCTTGGGAGATTCTTGCTCTGAAATATGCTGGTGCCAGGCACTGAGAACCGGTGAATATATGCTGGTGCCAGGCACTGAGAACCGGTGAATATATGCTGGTGCCAGGCACTGAGAACCGGTGAATATATGCTGGTGCCAGGCACTGAGAACCGGTGAATATATGCTGGTGCCAGGCACTGAGAACCGGTGAATATATGCTGGTGCCAGGCACTGAGAACCGGTGAATATATGCTGGTGCCAGGCACTGAGAACCGGTGAATATATGCTGGTGCCAGGCACTGAGAACCGGTGAATATATGCTGGTGCCAGGCACTGAGAACCGGTGAATATATGCTGGTGCCAGGCACTGAGAACCGGTGAATATATGCTGGTGCCAGGCACTGAGAACCGGCTGTCGTGCTCTGTGACACCAGAGTTAAAGGGAGACAGGCCCAGGGTTACACAGGTGCCCTTCACTGGGCTCTGCTGACATCAGTGCCGCCCAGGTGTCAGTGTGTCCCAGGCAGTTGTGTGTGTGGTCCTGCATCTGTCTACCGCCCCATGACTCTCTTGGCACCTTGGGACTGCTGCTCTGTCAGGGAACAATTACTGACTGGTCTTTCCTGCTTTCCACGGACCCTTAGGGGCTGAGGAACATTCCCTGTGGCTCCTTTTAAAGATGAGACTTGCAGCCTAGAGTGCCGAGCCTCCCCTCAGGCATCATGTTTGCATGCCAGGCGCTGGACTCCTGGTCAGCATTTCCTTCCCTGTGACTTAGCCCCTTAGTTACTGTTTTCTTGGGCTACAATGCTTTCTAGTTCCCTTGGTTACCCATTTACTTAAATTGTTCCAAACTGTTAGAAAAAAACTCTGTGTTCAGAGGCTTTTTGAGCTTACCCAAAGATTGTCTGGATTGAGGGTCTGATCTGCCAGGCTGCTGTGAAGATGAATCACAGACATCTGCAGTGTAGGAGCAGTGTTTATGGAGCACTGAGCAGAACCTCCTCTCCCTTACAGTGTTTACAGAGCACTGAGCAGAACCTCTCCCTTACAGTGTTTACAGAACACTGTACAGAACCCCTCCCTTACAGTGTTTACAGAGCACTGTACAGAACCCCTCCCTTACAGTGTTTACAGAGCACTGAGCAGAACCTCTCCCTTACAGTGTTTACGGAGCACTGTACAGAACCCCTCCCTTACAGTGTTTACAGAGCACTGTACAGAACCCCTCCCTTACAGTGTTTACAGAACACTGTACAGAACCCCTCCCTTACAGTGTTTACGGAGCACTGTACAGAACCTCCTCTCCCTTACAGTGTTTACAGAGCACTGTACAGAACCCCTCCCTTACAGTGTTTACAGAGCACTGTACAGAACCCCTCCCTTACAGTGTTTACAGAGCACTGTACAGAACCCCTCCCTTACAGTGTTTACAGAACACTGTACAGAACCTCTCCCTTACAGTGTTTACAGAACACTGTACAGAACCTCTCCCTTACAGTGTTTACGGAGCACTGTAGAGAACTACTCCCTTCTCCACAAATACTGAGGCAGAGACTCAGGGAGGACCTTCTACAGAGGAAAGGACACCTTTGCTGCTGCAGGATGAAAGCTCGTCAGCCTTGGACAGGGAAAGGACCTATCAACTAGTGGAAATAGTGTGTAAAACACGGGCCCAGGAAGGTCACAGCCCAGCTACCTGTAACTCTAGTTCCTTAGTCTCTTTCCATTAGCATACTCCCTAGCAAAAGATTAGTTCTAGGTATGTGTTTGCTAAATAAATGAATAAGCCATTTTTCCAGTCACACCTTGGCCTCTCTCACCCGTGGCCCTGCACACATGCTTTTAACTGCTGTCCAAGTGCCCTGGCCCCATTTCTGCTCGCTGAAAGAATCTGTTTGTACTTGGAGATGTGCTTGTGGCCACAGTTCTTCACCACAGTAGAAGTTATCTTCCTGAGTCAGACTCACAGCTCAGCAGCTGTGCTGTGTGCTGGGACCCCTGCTCGCTCTGGCTATTAGCACTAAGCAGCTCTTAGGAAATGAGACCTCCCCAGGGCTGTGAGCAGCATTCTCACTATAGCCGCCCGCCTCGCTGCACTTGGAAGTGTTCTAAAGAAACTTGGCTAAAATACTGAAAACGAAGATGGGCTGGGCACGGAAGTCAGTGGGCAGAGTGCTTGCCGAGCATGGCTCTGAGCCTGCGTTCAGGCAGCACCTCATGTGCCAAAGAAAAACAAATTGTGAGGATTAGGTATGTGTGGTAATTCATCTGCCACCTGTGCCCTGTGCCCCAACCTAGAATATTGCTACCATCATTAAAAATGTGAATGAGTTGTGCCGGAAGTGTGGCACACACCCACATCTTTAATCTCAGCACTCAGGAGGCAGAGGCAAGCAGATCTCTGAGTGCAAAGCCCACTTGCTCTATATAGCAGGTTCCAGGTGAGCCGGAGCAGTGAGGCCATGGGCCCTTGGGAGAGTTGGTGTGTATGTGTGGTGGAGGGGTGAGTGAAGGATCTGGGTGCGATCCCCTTTAAGCATGGCTCAGCTTCATGGTCTTCCTTCCTAGAGTCCATGGATCAGGAGATCAGGTGGGCAGATGAGGTAGACGCACCTTCTCAGTCTGCTGTAGTAGATGGTGTCTTTCCCCCTGGACAGTCCTGTCTTCCTGTTAGCTTTCAGTCAGAGAACACTGCTGTTTTTCCTGATCAGTTGAATAAGCAAGAGCCATTGTCACCTAAACTCAGACCTCTGTTGCCTGCCATTAGCGTTCATGTTCTGTGAGTGAGAGAAGAAGGAATCCTGTCACTTCCTTGCCTGCTGTTTGAACCAAAAGGAATCGGTCCCAGCTCACCTGCACTCGCCTTCTGAGAGCAGCGTTTTATCCGCCTTCTCTCCAGTTCTGCTTTAGCAAATCCTGAAGGGTTTTCTAGTGTGGAAATCCTGGATTGTGAGGAGAGGCCTGCCTGAGATTCAAAGTTTCCAGAAAATAATTTCCTAATCATTAAAATTTGCTTGGGTGATTAACAGCAGGCACATGGGTGGGGTGTTTGGAATACTTGTCAGAATAAAACGGTGGGCAATGTTATTTCAAGCTGATGTTTCTTCTTTGCTACTACAGTAACCTTTTGTTTTCTTTAGGCAGTTAATTGCTCATCTGCAAGTCTTCTCTAAGTTTTCAAACCCACGGGCCTTATATCTAGAGTCCAAATTATATGAATTGTATCTTCAGGTACGTTGAGTAAAGGCTCAGTGCTTTAATCCTTGCAAACTTCATCTTTCTTTCTTTACCAGAGTAACTTGGGGTTCCATAGCCGGGGATGGGGCCCATTTCCACTTGGAAGTGCTAGTTTTGTTAATGGGCACACTTTAAAGAATCATCTTAATGTACAGTTTCAGATTACACTAATCTAGTTGGCTTTAAAGTCAGCTTCAGGGCGGGGTGACTAACACTGGGCAGCTGTGTTAGCAGCAAGGACAGTAAATCACACATCGTTAGAGAGGGATGGGGACTTGGATTTCTGGATCTGTTTGACAGAATGAGAGAAAATAAGGGAAATGCTGTAATTATAATGTTATGTCCCCAACTCTAGAAAAGATGACAGCAAAATGCAGTGCTAGAAGAAGACTGAGCAAGTGTTGGGTTGTCGTTCTAAACCCTCTATGGAAATGACGTTTCCTCATTTGTGGGTGGTCTTCTGGTGGAGCTTCGTCTGCTCAGCAGACTTTGTCCAGGCTCGGCACACAATTCACACAGACCTTATTAGGAAGCCTGAGCTCAGAAGCCTCCTGCCAGGTAATGTGGGACCACAGCCAAGTCTTCTCCAGATATCACACTGACCGTTAGCTTTATAGTATAGGACCAGCACAGAATTCAGATCAGAGTTTCATTTCTTTTTTTTTTTTCTTTTGGTAGAGTCTTGCTATTTGGTTTTTCTTATGGTTTGTGTATGCATTGCTTCATTAACTTATTCTGTAAAACCTCATTTCTAGTTATTGCTACACCAAGATCAAACTGTGCAAAAAATAACCTTGGATTGCATAATGACCTACAAACATCCTCATATCCTCCCTTACAGGTGAGCTATGTACAAAGAAACATTACTTCCTTCACCTAGAGCCATTTCTGAAATAATACCCAAAAGACCCGAGAGATTCCCCTCTTCCAAAGTAACCGTAACCATTTCCAGGCAAGAAATGAAAACCAGAAGTATATTTGTTGGATTATTCTCTATAGATAACAACGTGGAAAAAAAAATTGTTAATGTAAAAGTGTATTGGGAAGTGGTAGCATTTCTCTGCTGACGTAATCACCTAAAACCTTCGTGATTACCTCTCTCGTGTCGTTGCTCCTAAGCCCGAGGTTAGGGACCGGCTCTAGTTCCTCTAGCCATGTATTCCCCTCCTGAGATCTGAGGATCGTCAGGATCGTCTTGTGAGGACTGCCCTGTAGGATGGGGGCCTCAGCATGGACTGCCGCGTGTGTTGCTCTCCGTTGTGCTTGCGAATGTCGCTCCTCCCGTCTGGAAAGTGCTGTGGCCGGAGTGCTGACGTGGGAATCTGTCCGCAGGGAAAACCTGCAGAGGCTGCTAGACGACCGCAGCTTTAAGGAGGAGATCGTGCATTTCAGCCTTTCCGAAGAGAGCGCCGTGGTCAAAGCCGCCCACCGGGTGGACTTGTGTCCAGTCCTCATGAGGTATTTCTACTGTTTAAAATGTGAATGTAAGCCAGGCGGTGCTGGCGCACACCCTTAATGCCAGTACTTGGGAGACAGAAGCAGGCACATTTCTTAAACTCAAGGCCAGCATGATCTAAGAGCAAGTTCTGGGAAGGTCAGGGCTACACAGAGAAAGCCTATATTGAGAAACAAAAACAAAAAATAGTTCTAAAACAGTCGTGTGATTTTATTCTTTTCTTTAAGTGGGGTCTCATGTAGCCCAGGCTATCCTCAATCTCACTGAAGATGACCTCACCGTGCTTAGTTTTATGCAGACTGGAGATTAGAACCAGGCCTTTCTTCCTGCTGGGCAAGCACTCTCCCTGCAGAGCCTTATTTCCAGCCCTGTTTTTTTCTCTTCTTTACTTGGATCTTCTGGACAGTGGCACCAAACTGCACTAGTCATTCTTTATGGGCAAATAATTGGAGAACAAAGTGAAAACAAGATTCTCTGTCCTTCAAATGTTCTGGGCATGGCTCTCCTTACTATTTTGTGTGCCAAAGGAAGACGTGGTCATGAGACGCTCCTGCTGCAGGCTACGTAGCTCAGGGAGCTCAGGGATGACGTCTGTGCGAGTGTGTTACAGTCTGCACTGGCTGCCTTTTTCCCTCTGTGCAGCACCGCTTTTATTTGAAAACCTAGATAATGAAGTACCATTCTTTTTATACGTGGGTGTTTTCGCAGGTTTTCTGAACCATGAATGCAGTGAGTTTGACAAAGAAAACAAACAGCAGAGTTTGTTTCAAATTACTAAATTTTAACAATCAAATGAAAATGAGAATTTTGGAAAACTTGAGTCTGTTCTGTGAACATATAACTTCCCAAGAATGTGGAAACCTGCCTGGTGAGGTGGATGATTGTATTTCTAAAATATTGGTTAGCAGGCCTCTTTTGGCTGACCGCGAGAAGTATCAGCCTTTGACATTTCTACATGACTTGTTCTCTCACTGTTTTCCAAGTAACGGGTGCATGCTACAGAGTTGGTGTGCACAGCTCAAGTAACGGGTGCATACTACAGAGTCGGTGTGCACAGCTCAAGTAACGGGTGCATGCTGCAGAGTCTGTGCACAGCTCAAGTAACGGGTGCATGCTGCAGAGTCTGTGTGCACAGCTCAAGTAACGGGTGCATGCTACAGAGTCTGTGTGCACAGCTCAAGTAACGGGTGCATGCTACAGAGTCTGTGCACAGCTCAAGTAACGGGTGCATGCTACAGAGTCTGTGTGCACAGCTCAAGTAACGGGTGCATGCTGCAGAGTCTGTGTGCACAGCTCAAGTAATGGGTGCATGCTGCAGAGTCTGTGCACAGCTCAAGTAACGGGTGCATGCTGCAGAGTCTGTGTGCACAGCTCAAGTAACGGGTGCATGCTACAGAGTCTGTGTGCACAGCTCAAGTAACGGGTGCATGCTACAGAGTCTGTGCACAGCTCAAGTAACGGGTGCATGCTACAGAGTCTGTGTGCACAGCTCAAGTAACGGGTGCATGCTTCAGAGTCTGTGTGCACAGCTCAAGTAACGGGTGCATGCTGCAGAGTCTGTGCACAGCTCAAGTAACGGGTGCATGCTGCAGAGTCTGTGTGCACAGCTCAAGTAACGGGTGCATGCTACAGAGTCTGTGTGCACAGCTCAAGTAACGGGTGCATGCTACAGAGTCTGTGCACAGCTCAAGAGGAATAGACTTGAGTGAAACGGCTTATAGAGTATGTTGATAGAGTTCCATATGCCATGTTGCAGCCGATTGCCATTTGTTTGGCATCAAAGTGGAATAGCCAAAATTATTTCCTCCCACCCCAGTGGGTTAGATGCTGAAGCCATGTGAACATCTGGTCATCGTCTCTTAAACCAGTCAGAAATAAAACAGCCTTTAGTCTCATGAATGCTGAGATGTAATTATTTTTTTCATTGAAAAGTTATTTATATTAACCTGTAATAAACATGATGTTTTACTTAAGTAAATTCATAAAACATTATTTTAAAAATTACTTGATTTTAATTTCTAAAAATAGTAACGACCATAGGTAAACTCATTCAGAAGTTTTTTAGGCCTCTAATAGTTTAAAGATGTCTTAATATTAAAATTTTTTAAATCATATATTCAGGTTCTGAGTGTCATCGGTTAGTCTTATTGTACTAAAATGTGGCTGTTGGCTGGGTACGTGCCTTTCATCCCAGCACCCAGGGAAGCAGAGGGTGCTGGTGTCCGCATGACAAGCCAGCCTGATCCACACAGCAAGTTCCAGGGCAGACAGCTACATAATGAGACCCTGTCTCAAACAAACACTATAGCTTTTATTAAGTATCTAAGGGTTTGAGAGGTGGATGTTGACTCCTGTTACTAAGCATGTATTAAAACGGTCATGTTAACTTTTTACCGTGAGCCTTTCCTCTGTCTTATTCCCATATGTGTACTGATAGCTCTCTGCTGCATTTCCTGTGATGTGAAGGCTAAGAGATGCTCATGCCGAGGACCCTGTTCAGTTACCAGTGTTCACAATGTTAGATGTCCTCTGGCCACCAGGCACACACTCAGTGCACATGCTTGCAAACAAAATAAAATAAATAATAATCTTTAAAAACACTAAAAGAGCCCTTGGTGGATGTGCCCACAGAGAGAACTGGCGGGCTCCTTTTCCGGGATGGAGAGATAAAAGGCTTTTCCAATTAAAAAAAAAAAAAAACAACTAAAAGAGAAGCGTATTTTGAGCTTATTATGGTTCTATATGCATGCAATCCTGGAAACCAGGTTCAAAGCCAGTGTTGGCAGTCAAGGAAGGAAAGGGTGGGAGAGATGCTGTGCTTGGTGTTATAGGTTAGTCTAATGTGTTGGTTTATTGGGGAGGGAGGGAATGAGGAATGATGTTTTATGTTTATAAGCAAAATTAGTGTTGGCTTTTATTTTCACTCATTAACTCATCCATGTATTCTCTTACCACGTCGCGTAAAGAAAAAAATAGTTTTTCCTCTTTTCTATGTGCTATGAATTATATTTTTCCTGAAAAGCTTTTAAAATTTTCTTGTAAAACTAGATAAGTTCCATGTGATTTTTGTTCTGTTTATTTTGTTTGTGAGACTTGAGATAGGGCCTCGTTGGAGCTCTGGCTGGCTTGGACCGCACAGAGAGATCTGACTCCCTCTTCTTCTCCCTCATTTTTTTCTTTTGCTGGTTATATGTTTCTTTTTTCTTCCAGGCTCTTAATTTCACTTCCTTTTAATATCTATATTATTATTTTCATTTATCCTTGATTTAACTTATCCTTGACTTGCCTGTTTTATTGCTTTTTTTTTATGCATACAGTGAATTGCCTTCTAGCCTTTTTATTTTCTGTTTCCTGCTTCCTGCTAGCCTTGTTTCGTCCTTTCTCATAGTACCTGTTTTCCTTTTTTCTCTTAACTTTATAGTATATTCTTTGAAGTCTTTGGATTAGCTCTTTAAGGCTTGTAATAGAACAAGCAGCTCGTGCTGTTTAGCCTGCATGTAGATAATGCTGTTTTGACTTTTCAGAATTTTATATGGGCGGATGAAGAATAAGACCGGGAGTAAAACCCAGGGGAAGTCTGCCTCGGGCACCCGCATGGCCATTGTTCTGCGCTTCCTCGCTGGAACCCAACCTGAAGAGATCCAGTTCTTCTTAGATCTGCTGTCTGAACCTGTGAAGCATTTCAAGAATGGTAGCTACTCACTGCCTCTGACCAAATGCATGCCTTTTGTGGCAACCCTTGACGTTCCTTGGAGAAATCTTTGTAATGGACTGTTTCCTCCCACCCCTCTGATGTCTCTTTGCGGAAATGCGGTTCACTGTAAACTTAGCTGGTCTCACAGTTGAGCCCAGGGTTGTCAGTACCCTTGCATTAGGAGTCTTCGATAGAAAATGGGCCTTTTGTTGTCCGTTTCTACCAGTGAACAATGACAAGTACCACTCATTATACAGACCATGTGTATGCTGGTCTACGTAATGATTCTGGGTCAGCCAGGGCTACATACTGAGACTGTTTAAATACACACAGACACACAGGGGAAGGGGAAAGAGAGTCAGTCCCAGCACCCCAAGAGATGAAGAACAAGCTGTAAGAATTAACCAGAACTCTAGCGATTTAGTCATTTATTTATCCACAGAATCATTTACCTGTTGAGCAGCGGCTTGTCTGTCTCTCCTGTGTCCCAGCTGCTGGGCTCAGCTGGAAAGCAGTGAAGAAGTGTAACAGTGCAGGCCCAGCTCTGGTGTGCTCTCCTGTCACAGTGTGGGATGTTTGTCATGGCGATGACTCGCCATCGCCGTCAGCGCTTACTCCACACATAGCGTTATCAAAGCCCTTTGCAGGCAGCTCAGTTGATGTTTAACAAACGCTGGCGCTCTTATGCTATAGCTGTCCATTTTACAGATGAGAAAACCGGTAGAGGTGGGATTGGAACTCAGACCTTTCAGACTATAAAATCCTTTGTTCCAGTTGCAAAATTGATTGACTTTATCCCAACATAAATATTTATTTGGTGGTACGGTTTGTCTTGATCCAGATCATAGGTTTCCATGTAGTTTAGTCCTGCCCTGTGTAGGAGAATGGCTCTGAGGAGAACAGAGGTTTGGGTGGGTGGATGGACAATGCAGTTACGGGTGGTCCAGCTGAGTGTGTCCATCAGTAAATCCATCGTCCGATCCCAGGGGCCGTGCAAAGCTGAAGCAGTACCAGTTCAGGTCTTTTAGCAAATTCTGTGGTCAGTACTGTAGCGGTTGTTTATAAAGTAGTTGTTTTTATTTATTAACCTGGAATTATATGAGAGAGAGGACACTGTATTCTTAATCTTCTAGGAGATCCGTGACTGCCAAGCTCAGCACACAACTCAGTGACTCCAGGGTTCAGGAATGGCGGTTTTTAAATTGGGCCAGCCAGGCATGGTGGTGCACACCTTTAGTTCCAGCACTTGGGAGGCAGAGGCAGGTGGATCTCTGATAGTTTGAAGCCAGCCTGGCCTACGTAGTGAGTTCCAGGACAGCCATAGCTACATAATTAGACACTATCTCAAAAAAGGAAAATAATAATAAAATTGGGTGAGATTTGTTCTTAGAGTCAGCCCTCCAACTACCTTATCTTTCTTTATCCCTTAGTTTCCCTATCTGAAATGTGGACAGTAAAACCCAGCTTGCGGACTCACTGAGCATTTTCATAAAAATTGGGAGGTAACCTAAGAGAGAAGTGCACTGTCCCCTACAGTAACACGTCTCTAGGAACGCTGCACTATTTAGGGGTGGGAGGGATGCTGCGCTCAAAGAGACCAGCAGAGACCAGCGTGTCCCTGAACACCACACCCTCTCTGCCCCTAGGGGAGTGCTGCTCTGCAGTTCTTCGGGCGGTGGAGGATCTGGATCTGTCTAAGGTCCTTCCCGTGGGCCGTCAGCATGGCATCTTAAACAGCCTGGAGGTGGTTCTGAAGAACGTCAGCCACCTGATCAGCGCGTACCTGCCAAAGATCCTGCAGATCCTGCTGTGTATGACGGCCGCCATCTCGCACATCCTCGACCAGCGGGAGAAGGTGAGAGGCGGGAGATGCTCCCTTCTCGGCGGCGTCTGAATCACAGTGGCTTCCCAGGTTAAATCTCCTCCTAGAACCCTTGTTATGCTGAGAGGGTTGCACAGACTCTGGGAAATGAGTGCTGGAACCAGTGCAGTTTTTGATAGATAAGCAGAGTGACGAGCAGGACTGCTTAGGTAGCCGACCATCTGCGGCAGGTAAGCGCTGTAGATGTTTTCTGAATTGTTTTCCAGACCTGTTCTGTTGAAATAGGAATGTGGCGGTGAGGACGTTTGAGGACGGAGGGAAGAAGGTTGTACATTATGATAAACAGGAGGCCCTTGGAGCAATTGGGTTTGAAGGAAAGACCCAGGCTCCCATTTTGTCTTTTGAACTGTGGCTGTTATTAACAAATGGGCATGAATTTCAGTTTGTCAAAGTTGTCTCTGGGAGCTGGTGAGATGGCTCAGCGGTTAAGAGCACTGGCTGTTCTTCCTGAGACCTGGGTTCAATTCCCAGCACCCATATGGCAGCTCACAGCTGTCTGTAACTCCAGTTCCAGGGGCTCCAACATCTCATACAGACATACATGCAGGCAAATCACCAACGCGTGTGAAATAAAAGTAAAAAAAGAAAAGGAAGGAAGAAAGAAAGAAAGAAAGAAAGTTGTCTGTTGATTCAGTGAACTGCCTTCTGAACGCGGTCTTAGGTAGAAGTTGGCTATCAGGATTCTTGGCTGGTTTTTAGGTAGCTGTAAATTGGCCTTGTTAACGAAATGAGTCAGCAGGAGCTGACCCCTGGGGTGGCACAGCTCCAGTGTGTTCTAAGAAGAGACGGGGCCAGGGTGTCTAGAGTGCAGTGAGGGGAAGCGTCCCATAAGTGGGGTTGGTGATACCACACATATTTGCTTGGAAGTATGAAAACTTCCTTCCTACTGGGGAATTCCTGATAGACCTTGAGCGGAGGCATGAGAAGGACGCTGCCACAGCTGTGGTGGCCACACCAGTTGGGTCTGCTGGAGGACGCAGAGGCAAGAGGATTGCGAGCTACCCAGGTGTGGGCACACACCATTAATACCAGCGCTCTGGAAGCAGGGGCTGGTTCATCTCTGTTAACTTCAAGGCCAGCCTGGTTTACAGCGTGAGACTGAGGAAACTCTGTCCTATGTGAGCTTAAAGGAGACGATGCACATTTCCATCTCAGCTGCAGCGCAGACAGAGGGGAGCGTCTGTGCACATGCTAAGTCCAGAAGTGTGAGAGGTTTCGTAAAGACGCGGCCTTTGGACTTTCGATTAACTTAGAAGTTACTCAGTAATGGGCCATGCTCCCAAGCCAGCATTGTGTAACTCAGAGGATCATTTGTGCAATTTCATGGTTCATTAGTTCCTGAGGTGTTAGGCTTGCTCACGGATGTGGAGCTTCTTGCTCTTTTAAACAGGTCCGAGGAGTTCCTCTAAGAGGCATGAGTCGCCCCACGGTGATTTGTCCTGGTGTGTGTTTGAGCTCACTTACACACTTGCTCTTTACGGCTTTGATAGCCTTTGTAGTGTTGGCTGACATCAGTGTGTTGTTAGGTAGTAACTGGTTTTGTAGTGTTTGTCCATTGAAGTGGTGGCCTTGTACAAATATCCATAAAGCCTCCAAATGCTTATTTTCCGGGCTTTCCTCTGGCTTGGTCAACACTTATGGAGTAAGCTGGACAGCTGGAACTCTAGTTGTAGAAATGAACAGAATGTGCCCCTCCTGCCCATGGGAAGAGCAGAGAATGCTGGGCGTCTTGTTTGCTAGGGCTGCTTGTTATGTGTCCAGACGATCACAGTGCCGTGTTCATAAGTGTCCGTTGTCATGTGTCCAGATGATCACAGTGCCGTGTTCATAAGTGTCTGTTGCCATGTGTCCAGACGATCACAGTGCCATGTTTTTAAGGTCAGTGGTGGTTTTTATCTTCCCCCAAACCTGACTCCAGGGGCAGCACAGGTGCACCCGACAGAAGAAGCAGGTTCAGAATGATTTGTCACGTGGCACCTTCTTGTGTTCACCTGTTATTTCCTCTGCAGCTTGAGTAGGAAGGCGAGTGAAGGCAGATGGCTGTGTGAGATCTCATGCTTCCTTGGCCTGGAGCGTGGGCTTCTCGTGGCAAGTGGCCCCCTCTTAGTTTTCTTCGCTGTGTCTTGGACGTGGACTTGACGTTCACTGCATAAGAGGATTTCCTTTGCCGCCCTGGGTTCCAGGATGGTTTAGGTAAAGCTGTAGGAAAATAAAGTCATGTGTAAATGCTGCCATTTACATACCTAACGCTCACAGCGTATTGATCAGGTAGAGAGGTGAACAGGTTTGAGGCATCTTTAATTAGTTCCTTTTAACAGTGTGTGTTCGGAGAGCATCACTCTGAAGCCCTTGTCTCTCCTCTCTGGGATAAACCCATTCATTCTTTAATATCCAGTGGAAATTCCTAGGTTTATAAAACTCCTTACATATCAAACTCTGGAATTTTCAGTCCCTCCTATACAGACTTTGACTATAATGCCGTTGAAGGGAACTCAGTAAATACGTCTAGTTTGAGCCTGAACAGATAGCCTGCGTGATTATGACTTCACGCCACCTAGGGAGGGAAATGTCATGGCTGTTTAGTGTTTGCTGTGATTCTCCAGCCTCTCTGCCTCCACACAGACATATTTGTTTATTTCTGTTGCTGAATTTTTTTTCCACTGTATGTCTGTACATAATGTGTGTGCATTGCCCCTTAAGGCCAGAAGAGGGCACCAGATCCCCAGGAACTGGAATTAGGAAGCTGTGGGTTCTGGGAACTGAGCCTGGGTCCTCCACAAGAGCAGCAGGTGCTGCTAAATACTGAGTCTCTCTAAGGAATCAGGTGGGGCTGGGGGGTAGTGTGTGTGTGTCTGTGTCTGAAAAAGACATTTGTTTTCAGATACAACTAAGGTTTATTAACCCACTGAAAAACTTAAGACGTCTGGGAATCAAGATGATCAGCGATATCTTTTTGGATTGGGAATCCTATCAGTTCAGAGCGGAAGAAATTGATGCCGTGTTTCATGGTGCAGTTTGGCCTCAGGTAAACCTTGATTTGATTTCTCTGTCCTGCCTGACACCGTCTGCTTCTCCCATTGTTTTTTATTCACTAACATAGTCTGCCACCCAGACACAAATGTTGTCTGCTCTGCTTTCTTACATCAAGACTCTTATTTCTGCAGGTTGTTAGAACCCTTAGTTAGACCTAAAGATCAAAAGTCGGTTTTTAAATTCCGTAGCGTTTATACTGACGGTTAGCGTGAGTGTGACTGTATGCCTTAAGAAGTCTGCTCTAGCTGCCATAGCGCCACGGGTCAGCACACGGGAAGGTGCTTGTGTTCGTCAGCATTTCTTTTCAGGTTTCTCTGCTTGTGACCAGTTGTTATGGTAACTGGTGTATTAGCTAAGAAGACTGCGGGAGGGACTTGATTTTGAGAACAGTTTCTAGCTGTTTAAACTCAGTCATTGAATCCCCAGACAGCTGGTCCCAGTCTCTAGATAGTCCATGGCCCATCGTTGCTACCCTTCTCTTCCTCCATCTGTCCTTTCTGTGTGGTGTCCGCTATGGTGCTTCCTCTGTTTAGTGGTTGCTCTTGTTTCTCCTGTGTGTCTCTGTGGTTTATATGTCTTCATTTGCCATCCTAGGTCTGCAGGCTTGGATCTGAGAGTCAGTATTCGCCTACTCCTCTGCTGAAGCTAATTAGTATCTGGAGCAGAAATGCAAGGTAAGAAAGAGCAGTGCTCCAGCCTGGTCAGAGCTGGTCTAAGGCCGTCCGCTGTCTAGTGGGGTACGTTTATGGGGTATATTACAGTACATCAATACATTGTATAGTGTAAAAAGCAGGACGATCATGTACTCAGATATCTTTTCTTTCTTGTAAAAACATTCAGTATCCTCTCTTCCAGCTTTTTAGAAAATGGAAAAATAGGTTAAAATTACACCTTGCAATGTGATTGATAGAAATGATGACAGTTGTACATAAAATGCAAAGTGGATGCCCAGGCGTGGCAGTCGATGGGTACATTCCTGCATGTGTGATGACTGCATCGATCATTTCATCTGAGCTGGCCGGGGAAGAAGGATGTAGATCCTACAAGGGATGACGTCACGTAACTTTCCTGTGCTCAGAAACAAATGCTCGTGTGTTCACTGATAGTCCAGTATGTCTTCTTCCCAGTTCCCTCTTGAAGGGAGAGTTAAAACTCCTGTCCAAATAAACACACAGCTCCTCTGTCAGGTTAAGCTTTGATATCGATCTGTTATTTAAAATCATGGCATCGGTTTTTACAAAATTAGGGCTATGTTGTATAGCCAGTTTTTCGTTTTGTATTTCATCATTTACCATTATGGCATGAATATTTTCTTGTTATTAAACAGGCTTTTCCTAAAACCCAGAAACATCATTTTCTTCATCTGTTCGTTCTACCAGTAGGGAGCCTGTTTTAAGGAAAGGCCTCACTCCACTGTTTCCACATTTGATGACAAACCTGACTGTGTATCTCACCTCTGAGCATCTGTAAGCAGTGCTCTGCAGTCATATTTGAGGAAGTTTCGTGGTGATGTGTACAGACAGGCCAAGGCTGCAGTGCAGCTCCTTCTGACTTTATTTGGTCCCTGATTCAAGGCACATCCACACTGAACACCGCTTCATGAATCCTGAAATGTCTTCCTCCTTCTTTTCTGAGAAAGCAGATAATGGGCTGGAGAGATAGCTCAGCAGTTACAAGCCCTTGCTGCTCTTTCAAAAGACTAAAGTTTGGTCACCAGAACCCTGTGCTGTGCTGGGACTCCCGCTGTTTGCTTTCATGACATAGAAGCCCAGTGAACACACACACACATATAGTTGTCTGTGAAAGAATTAGTGAATAAATGTATCACAAACTACTTCATAAGAATGCTACTCTTTCCATAAGAAAATAACAAGGGCTGGCGTCGACCAGTTCCAGCGCTGTGGTTCATCGGGTAAAGGCACATGGCCTGAGTTTGATCCCTTAGGATCACGTGGATGGAGGAAGGAGAGAACTGATTCGGACGAGGTGCCCTCTGGCCTTCCATGTGTCCTGCTCAGTAGGAAACCCTCACACTCATGTGCACACACAAAAATGAATCAGTGTGATAAAAACGTAAAGTAAAACTGCCATTTACATAGCATCAGATGTTAAAGTTGATTTTCCCGTCTAGAGAGAGGTGTAGCAGTTTGCTTTGCACTAAACACTTAGAGGTGAACTGTATCTACTGTCCTTAATCTTACAAGGAAGAGCAATCGTCTCAAAACTTCAGTGAACTCAAGATAGCTAACACTTGCTATCAGATGGAGACATGTTAATTTAAAAAAAAAAAATGGCAATGAGCCAGGACAGCCACTGTGATCTGGGAGCCTTGGAGCTGACTTAGCTGCACTGGTTCTAATCATGACATACACCTTTGTCTCACGTGTCCCCCACGTTCCCTGTTTCTTCCTTTGCGCTTTCTCAGTGCCACAAGTCCCTGTCTTCACGCCTGGCTTGTATTCTCCCTCTGTAGTTAACCCACCTAAAATTCTCAAAGAGCAGAGACCATTTCTCTTTGATGAGTGTGTCTCCCTGCACAGTTCCTCCTCTTCACACGGCCAAGTATGTTCAAATATTTGAACTCTTTCCAGTGATAAAGAATTGATGAAGTTAATCTACCCGTGCTTTCTTTTCCTGTAAATTATTTGATACATTTCTATGTCGAGAATATTCTAATTTTTTCTATGAGTGTTTTATTATTAGGATGGCTTCATCCTCTCCAAGTGATTGTGTTCTCTGAGTTCTGTATGTCTACAAACAGCCCCTGTCTCATGCTGTAGTACATTGATCTAATGAGTTTCTAGACATTTCATTTTAGAAACCTTATTACTGAGTACGGAACTTTTTTTTTTTTTGGTTGAGACAGGGTTTCTCTGTAGCTTTGGAGCCTGTCCTAGAACTAGCTCTTGTAGACCAGGCTGGCCTCGAACTGACAGAGATCCACCTGCCTCTGCCTCTGCCTCCCGAGTGCTGGGCTTAAAGGCGTATGGAACTTTTATATGATCCTTTAGAAAATGCTTAAGACCGGAAGTCCAGCAGTGACTCAAGTCTCAGCTCTGCTTCTTCGTATGGTAGCTCAGTGGCTTTAGCAGGTCTGCCCTTCATCCGTGATGTACAATGATGGACCTCACAGAGATGTCATGAAGTCTAAATAAATATATATAATCTAAGTAATGTTTATAGAGTGCTTAGAATCAGCCATTGAGTTCTGGATTTTAAAGTACTTTCTCTTCATTTACGCGTTAAAATCACGTGGAAACTCTTATGGAGTGTTTTAGACATATACTGAGAAGTGAGGTGCTTATCACAGGGTCTTTCCCCTTACAGATACTTCCCTCTTCTGGCTAAACAGAGACCCGGACACCCAGAATGCGATGTCCTGACCAACGTCTTTGCCGTTCTCTCAGCGAAGAATCTGTCGGATGCCACAGCGAGCATCGTAATGGACATAGTCGATGACCTTCTCAACCTTCCAGATTTCGAGCCCACAGAAACAGTACCGAGCTTGCCGGTGACTGGCTGTGTGTATGCGGAGGTGGCTGACGACACAGGTTCGTGCACTGCACAGAGCGGGTGACTCATAGACATCAGCGGTAGCTGTGGCCCCAGAACAGAGTCAGCTGGTCTGGAAAATGCCTTGTTTCAGAGACGTGTGTAATCTGAAATTCATTGCATGGGTAGGAACGTGGATGACTGCTACCCAGGAAGTTCTTAGCCGTCCTCCAGGAAACTGGGAAATGCTTTGCACTGTTGCACCCAGATTCTTCCTGTCACGGTACCCCAACAGTTCCTGGATTTACGGACCCTAAGGTCTTTTATGAATTTGTAATTTAAAAGCCAGGCGGTGGTGGCGCACGCCTTTAATCCCATCACTTGGGAGGCAGAGGCAGGGAGGATCTCTGCAAGTTTTAAGGCCAGCCTGGTCTAAAGAGCCAGGAGTACACAGAGAAATCCTACCTCAAAAAAAACAAATATAAAATATATGAATGAATAATTGATTAAATAAATACATTTCTGATTTAGCTACTGGTGTCTCTCTTTTAAGGAAGAGAATGTTATTTAATAATTAGAGTTGAAATTTATTTTTTTTATTTTTTTATTTTTTTTTAATATTTATTTATTATGTATACAATATTCTGTCTGTGTGTATGCCTGCAGGCCAGAAGAGGGCACCAGACCCCATTACAGATGGTTGTGAGCCACCATGTGGTTGCTGGGAATTGAACTCAGGACCTTTGGAAGAGCAGGCAATGCTCTTAACCTCTGAGCCATCTCTCCAGCCCCTAGAGTTGAAATTTAAATGCTCATTAATAGTTGAATACTTTCCTTGTCTGACAAAAGGTTAATTTAAACAATCCCTGTTTCAGAGCCTCTCACTGTGGGAGGGAGATTGATTCTGCCCCATGTGCCTGCAATTCTTCAGTACCTCAGCAAAACCACAATCAGTGCAGAGAAGGTGAAGAAGAAAAAGAACAGGGCACAAGTCAGTAAGGAGCTCGGCATTCTTTCCAAGTGAGTGACTGTTTGTCGTTAACGGTGAAGATTAACATTCGGGGGTTTAAAGTTTTTAAAACTTTTATCTTGTTTGTCAGTTAACAATTTCGAACAAATTAGGGAAAAGGAGTCTTCTAAACTGTCACCTGTAAGATGCTGGGTTTAAGCCAGAGTCAGACTAAAGATTTGCTGGTTCCTCCTTTGCATAGCTGCTTATTTAGACTCTCAGGTTTTGTTAGATCACTGAAAAATACTAGAAAGAACTCAAGCCCGTTTTTTAAAAAAAAGTCTTTGGCAGTAAAATTAATAGTATATAATCAGTTTCTATAAAGGCAAAGTTAGTAAAAAAAAAATGATTTTATCTTAAATTTCGATATAAGCATTATGAAACATTGACAACCTTTAATATTACTTTCCACAACATAAAGTGATAAACTGGGATCTGCTAGAAGCTGGAACGTTTTATGTACGTTTCTAAGTTTCTGTAAGTGATCGCTAAGTTTTGTCCCGACTTATGGGTGCGGTAGTGGAAAGATGATGAACCCTTACGCTCCAGAAAGGCCAGAGTCACAGACTCGCTGATGCTTCCCAACACACTACAGCCTCTCCTCTGGGTCTCAGTTTCTCTCTATACAACATGGGGCTGAACAATTCCTCTGTCGTGATGCTGCCGATGGAATTACATTGGAATATTGTGTGTAAAACCTTTAGTGGGTCAATTCCTTGCAAAATAAGCATGAATTGCCTGATGACAGCCCTGACATCAGAAGCTACCTAGACAGCCAGATACGGTGAAATGATGGAGAGTGCCCGCTGCGCAGCTGACGGTGGTCTGCGGCCTGGCACTCAGAGCCTCCTTCCCACATCTTCCTCACCTGTCCATTGTCTTCTTTAGGATCAGCAAGTTCATGAAGGACAGAGAGCAGAGCTCTCTCCTCATCACTCTTCTCCTTCCCTTCCTCCTCCACGGCAATGTCGCACAGGTACAGTTCATAGCGGTTACTGTGTCTTCAGAGGGTGCTATCCCATTAGGCGTCTTTGTTTATAGGTGATCTTGTTGGTTGATCTCTGTGATACATTTGATCCAGAAAACTGAAGATTGTATAGAAGTCCGGCATTTGAAATACGGGGGTGGGGGTTGGGCTAGAGTAGATGGGAGACAAGGCGTCACCGGACACTGCAGATAGAAGCCTGCAAATCTTTAGACAGCCAGAAGCGTTTGTTTTCCTCAGTGCACTTATGCTGTTGGCTCTTCTGTGATTCATGAACTGGAGAGACAGTGCTTCAAACTCCCGTCCATCCTCATTAGAATTGAAGGAAGAAACCGTAACTAGATTTTGTGTTAAAATGCTAATTTTTTTAAATGCCATAAAATAATTTTTTTGCAGTATTTGTAACTGTTTCCTTCACTATCATAAAATATAAACTGAGCTAGGTGTGGTGGTGCACACCTGTAATCCCAGCACAGAGGAGGCAGAGGCAGTATTGTTCCAAGTATCAAAACCAGATCTTAAATAAGTAACACTTGTACATGTGAATGCGTGTGTGTGCCTGTAATGTTGTATGAATAAGTAACACTTGTACATGTGAATGCGTGTGCGTGCCTGTAATGTTGTAGGAATAAGTAACACTTGTACATGTGAATGTGTGTGTGTGCCTGTAATGTTGGATGAAGTACTGAAATGCAGTTTCTCCTGGTTCTCAGGACACAGAGCTTGATATCCTGGTGACAGTGCAGAACTTGTTACAGCATTGTCTGAACCCCACCAGCTTCCTCAAACCTCTGGCCAAACTCTTCTCAGTTATTCAGAACAAGTTGTCAAGACAGTTGCTGTGCACTGTTTTCCAGGTATGGGGTAGGCATTTGTGATCCCAAACTGCCCTTTCTTTCTGTCCCATAAAACTCTGGAACCAGCCACCTTTGAATCAGTACGGTGTATGTGCAGTTGAATGGTATGGGGACCTGAGGCGGTTAGAGCAGAAAGGCTCTGGTTTTATCCATAAATAATTATGCTCATAGCCAGGAATGCTTCCACAGACCTGCAGTCCCAGTATCTGGGAGGGTAAGGCCAACCTGGGCTACGCACTGAGCAACTCCCTCATCAACTCCAAAAATAAACACATTGCCCTTTCTTTTCAGAGTCTGTCTGATTTTGAAAGTGGACTAAAATATGTTACAGACATTGTAAAGGTAAGAGAGAAATCTAATTCCTTTTTGACTTCAAAAGTATTGTCATTTTGGTTTATTAACCCTAATATCTATCCCTCTATATGATTTTCCCATTATACCTTGTAGCTTAATGCCTTTGATAAAAGGCATCTCGATGACATCAACTTTGACGTGCGATTCTCAGCGTTCCAGACCATCACCTCTACCGTAAAGGAAATGCAGACGGTGGATGCCGACTACCTAGTCCCTGTGATGCATAACTGTTTCTATAACATGGAGGTGCGTGTTCGCGGCTCACGCTCAGACTGTTTTGATATACGCCACTAAATACAGTGACCTAATTCCTGAATTTATTTTAGAAAGAGGACAGGCATTTTTTTAGGGCTGATTTTTGTTTTGTGGAGCACTTTCTGCTACTCTCATGATTTGAAAGATGAAAATGTTGGTAAACACATTGAAGCACTTGGGCAAACATCAAGCATACATTGCCCGAGCATGGCGGCACCCTTCCACAGTTTCACTGCTGCGGAGGCAGGACAGAAGGGTCATGGGTTTGATGCCAGCCTGGTCTACAGAGCAGGACCCTATGTTTTGTTGGTTTGTGTTTTGGTTTGGTGAGTGTGTTTACAGACAGGGTCTCACTGCAGTCCTGTCTGAACGGGAACTCTGTATAGACCAGGCAGACCTCAGACTCACGATCTTCCTGCCTCCACCTCCAGCATCCCCCACCACCATGCACACCACAGCTGGCCCTGTCTTAAAGACAAGCGAGTGTTGACCTAGAGCTGTAGGGAGGGAACGGCAGTGATGAAACCCTTCGGAGAGGAGATGTCAATCATGGTTGCACAGCCTTCATAGTCTAAAACCCACCAGGGGCCAGCACGGGGACTCAACAGGTAAAGGCATTTGCCAGTCAAGACTGATGACCTGAGTTCAGTCCCCAGAACACATGTGAAAAGCCGGCTGGAAGGCGAGAGGGGGAGGGAACGGACTGGAAAATCCCCAAAGCTTGAAAGCTGACTAGCCTGGAGTACTCAGAGCCGTAAAACCCTGCCTGGTGACCAGGGTGAAAGGCAAGAACGGACTCCTAAAGCTGGTTCTCTGCCTCCTCCACAGTGGTGCTGGGGCGTGTGCCTGTTCTCACACACACATGCACACGTGCTCACACAATTAATAGAAAACTGTTAACTGTATACTTTAATAAAAGGATGAATTTTATGGCATTTCAATATGTTTAGTTTTAGGTTAACTGTTACTTGTTTGTCTGCTTTTATTGAAGATTTACAAGAAATAAAGGGTATTTATATTAAGTGCCGTATTACTTAATGGAATTAAATCTAAAACGGGAAAATGAAGCCATGACTGTTGCTAAGCTGTAGGGCATCAAGTAGCTGTGGGGCGTTTACACTCTGTGATGTTCAGAAGTTCATCTGGGATGTGAGCAAGGGAGTTTCTATTTAGGGCTTATTTCTTCAGATAGCATGCCAAATTTCAACATAAGGAGTCCTAAACTGCCTGCTAGCTGAGTTGGGAAAACCTTCTCTGAATTAAGTTCTTTTTATTTTTTTGGAGGTGTGGGTTTGAGATAGGGTTTCTCTGTGTAGCCCTGTCTGTCCTGGAACTCGCTCTGTAGACCAGGCTGGCCTGCCTCTGCCTCCCAAGTGCTGGGATAAAGGCGTGTGCACCAGTACTACCCAAACGCAGGAATTTCTTAGTAGGGTTTTGCAGGTAGGTTTTGTAGGGGAATATTATTCTATGTCGTATTACTAGATAACAGTTACTAATTCTCGTTTTCAGGTAGGAGACATGTCTCTCAGTGACAATGCCAGCATGTGCCTGACAAGCATCATCCAGAGGCTGGCTGCTTTGAACATCACAGAGAAAGAGTATAAGGAGATCATTCACCGGACCCTCCTGGAGAGACTGAGGAAAGGGTTGAAGAGCCAGACAGAGGTATGAAACTTTATCTGTTAATTAGTGCTGTCTGCAGGTGTTTTCCCTCTTCTGCTGTTGGAGGGCAGTCGGGTTTAGTATAAATAATAACAGTTGCCAGGCCTGTTGAGGAGGAGGGAGTTCTTGAAGGAAATGATTTACTTAAAATATGAATAACTTTTTCGTCTACCTTATCTCATCTACTGGCAAACGGATACATTTAAAATACTTTTTCTCCCCTTGGTGTTTGCAGAGTGTTCGGCATGATTATACTGTGATCCTCTCCTGTTTGATTCAAACTTTCCCCAATCAACTGGAATTCAAGGACCTGGTGCAGCTCACTCATCGCCACGACCCGGAAATGGACTTCTTCGAGAACATGAAGCACATTCAGGTAGGCGCGGCTGTTTCTCCTGCCTTCAGAGTACACCCCAGAGCTGTCTGGGGTGTCCCGGGATATCCAGGTTCCTTCCCTGGTCTGCATGGCCGTCGCTCAAATGCATATGAGATAGATGACCATCACCTGAGGCCATCATCAAACGCAGATCACAACAGTGTCCACTTTCTCCGGTTTTCCTAAGTGTTCAGGTCCATTTTACGTGTGGGTTGTATTTCTGTAAACCAACACCCGGGTGTTTGCTTACCTAGTCCATGACCAGAGTTCCCGCCTTTACACTTTCCATGGGAAAAGCGCTGGAGCTGAGGTGCAGGTGGTTGTAGGAGAGTGTGCAGTAGTCTTTGCACGTGTCTTCTAATCCTCTAGGTCCACAGACGAGCAAGAGCCTTGAAGAAACTGGCCAAACAGCTGCTGGACGGGCAGGTTGTGCTGTCGTCCAAGTCGCTTCAGAATTACATCATGCCTTATGCCATGACGCCAATATTTGATGAGAAAATGCTCAAGGTAGGGCTGGAGAGATGGCTCAGCAGGTAGGAGCACTGGCTGTTCTTCCAGAGGACCCGAGTTCAATTCCCAGCACCCACATGACAGCTAACAACTGTCTGTAACTCCAGTTTCTGGGGATCTGATACCTTCACACCAATCCACATAAAATAAAGCTAACTAAATTTAAAAAAAAAAAAAAAAAAAAAAGAAAATGCTCAAGGTAAGCATTTAGGTCTCGGGAGTATACATTGGTAACCACATTAATGTAGTGTCAGAATTAGATTGAAATGGAAGTGGTTCAGATTCTTTAGAGCCTCTGCTGGCACGGGGTAAATGCTGTGGAAATGGTAAATACATTTCTATTCTGTTATTTGTGCGCACGGGCCAACCCTCCACACTAAAAATGAAACCCCTTCCTAGACGTGTCTAGATGTCTAAAATGAGAAAGGATCTCACTGTGTGCCCCACGTTGACCTTGAACTCTCAATTACCTGGTCTCAGCTTCCCCAGTTGGTGCCTTAGCGGTGTGGTTTGGTTTATTGGTTTTCTTGTTGGTTGGTTTGTAGACCAAGTCTCACTCTGTACCTAAGCTGTCCTTGAATTCATAGTGTAGGAGAGGCTGGTGGTGCTGGTGGTTTGTTTTTTTGGTTGTTGTTGTTTGTTATTGTTTTTGTTTTTGTGTTTTTGTTGTTCTTTATTATTTGTGGGGCCCACCATTCAGCTCCCAAATAAATCACACACAGAGTCCCATTCTTATTTATAAACGCCTGACCTTAGCTTGGCTTACTTCTTGACGGCTTTGCTTAAATTATCCCGTCCACCTTTTGCCTCTGGACTTTTCCTGTTCTTACTTCTGTGTGTCTTACTTTCACTCTTCCTTTGTGACTGACCAGGTGGCTGGACCCTTCTTTTCTCGCTCCTCAATCTCTCTTGCTTCCTGATCCTTCTTTTTCTCCTTCTGTTTATCCTCTCTGCCTGCCAGCCTCTCCTATCCTTTCCCCTGCCTTGCTGTTGGCCATGCATCTCTTTATTAGGACCATCAGGTGTTTAGACAGCACAGTAACACAGCTTCAAACAAATGCAACATAAAAGAACGCAACACTACTTTGCATCACTAAAAAAAATGTTCCACAGCAGAAACACATGTAACACACCGGCAACTAATATTCCACAACAGGCTGCCTCGAATGCATAGAGATGGAGCTGCTTCAGACTCGCATGTGCTGGGACTGTGGCTCCTTCCATCCTTCTCTCTGCATTCTTGAGGGCGGAGTGGTTCCCTATAATCCATTCTGGCCTTGAATATACAACTCTCCCTCCCTAGTAGCAGGACTGTGGTCATGGACCACCACACCTAGCCTTAAAAGGTTCTTTAAATCCTAGTTTTAATTAAAGTCAGTAAGAACAATCAACCCAAGTGTCTAAAGGCACTGACATGTGAGCAGACCCAGCTGGAGAGGATCTGCCTAGGTTTCTTTGGTGTTGGCACAGTGTCTCTTAGAACCTTCACCTTCAAATGTCCTTGTGACTTCCAGGCTGTTTCTCAGGGCCCTGTTGTATGTCCAGTCTGTCTGTCCATTCCCGAGAGCGAGCTTTAGACAGTTTGCACTTCTCATGTTTGTTAATAAGGTTGGGTTGAGATCTACAATCTTGTTACTTATTTTTCATTTTCCTTCCTTTAGTTGATCCTGATATTTGTGATTTTGTTTTCCTCTATTGCCTTATTGATCACAAAAGTATTTTTGTCACCCGCTTTTAACCTGTTTTAGCTATAAAATACACAGTAAATATTCTTACTGCTTTATAAACTGCCAGTTGTCTTCTGAAAAGGTCCAGTAGGGGAGAGTTCTTTTCTAACTGCTCGTATGTGTATGATTGCTGGTGTTCCTCACTCCGCCGTGTCTGTTCACATGTTCATGCCTTGGCGACTTTTTCACTCGGCGCTAGAGAGAGGGCTAAGGATCCATTCTTAGCTGGGCCCTGCCGACTGTCTCTCCTTACTTGTGTATACTGATTAGTGTCCGTTCAAATCAGAGAGCCTCTCTTCAAGCAGCCCTCTCGCCTGCCGTACAGTGGCCTACTACTCCTTGGAGACTGCAGCTGCCATGTGCAGCCTGCCTCTGTAACTCGGAGACCAGCAGGCTCTTCTGGAGTTCTATACGGGAACCCCACAGTCTCTGCATACGGGGAATTCGGGTCATGGGAACACTCGCTCCTACCCTTCCTCTTGGGGAGCACCGTGGTCTTGCTGCATCTTACTTCCAGAGTGTGACAACTGGGTTTATTTCTGACCACTTCTAGTTGAAGAGCAATAGTGTGTAGGTTTGGACCTTGGGCACAGCTTTTTTTTTTTTTTTTCGTTTCTTTTTTTTCCGCAAAGAATTCAGAGTATATTAATATTAATGAATATTAAAGAATTTAAAGATGTTGATGCCATCCTTTGCAGGGATTGGGGTAGGAAAGGGTAAGTCTGATTTATTTGTCAATCACCCAATGTCCAAATCGGTACTCTGACAGCGGCTGGTGAACTGGCCTGTGGAAGAACAGGTAGTCTCTTTCCTTGTGTAATTCCCGGCGGCCTGCGCCCTGTGGAGTTCACCAAATAACCTCGTGTTTTGTTAGCGATTGTTCGCGCATTGTTGCTCTGGTTTGTGTTACAGCACGAGAACATAACCATTGCCGCCACGGAAGTCATCGGCGCTGTCTGCAGACACCTGTCGTGGCCGGCGTACGTGTATTACCTGAAACACTTCATTCACGTCCTGCAGTCAGGCCAGGTCAACCAGAAGCTGGGCGTCAGGTACAGTCAGTTGTGTTGTCTTTGACACGGAACCTGGGCTTTGCTTCCCAGATGGGTCTTTGTGAGATGGCCGTGTATACTCGCTGTCTGAATGTGGTTACTGCAGTGCTTGTTAGTGTCATGTTCGGGTCTTCTCTCTCTTCATAGATGATGTTGCTAATCAGAGGGCCTCTATCTTTCTTGACAGCTTGCTGGTGATAGTGTTGGAAGCCTTCCATTTTGACTACAAATCTTTTGAAGAGCAAATGGGAAATGTTACCAGTGAAGAAAGTACGTTTGAAACTTTGTTAAATTCGATTCTTACTCTATTCATGGGTAACTTGTTGGCAAAATGCACTGCTTTTTCTTCTCTTAGTAGTAAGGAGCAGTTACTGAGTCAGAAACGACTGACTTCTTCTTATGACATCTTAGTTGCCTGTGCAGGAGGCACATCTAAGTTGTATAATGTAAACTTCTGGGCTACTGTTTATTTCCCTAGAGGTCTGACTCCTTGTGTGTGGCGGTCTGTCTGTGAGTACCGCAGTAAGATCCTGGGCCCAGATAGAACATGACTTCTCTGCCTCAGGACAGCTCTTCCTCCTTCTCTTTCCTCCGCAGCAGCCTGCTCTGTCATTAGATTGTAACAGCATCAAAGCATGCCCGTCACATTGAGACACAGCCAGACCCTTGACCTCCTGGTTATCCATCTTCCCAGAGTAGTCTGAATCACTGGACCAAGCCAAGGTGGAGGGGAGGACTTCCATCCAGGTTGAGGATGAAGAGCATCTTTGACTTACAGTCCTTTATGATGCTGAGCTCAGAGTTCTTCATTTTCTGGTTCCTGATTCCATATGTTAGTTTGTTTAACAAGCCAAGTGTGGTGGCATAATCTGTAGTCGCATAATCTGCGCTCGGGAAGCAGAGGCAGGCAGATCTCAGAGTTCGAGGCCAGCCTGGTCTACAAAAACAAACAAAAAATGCTCAACAACAATGAGGTGCTAATGAAGGCAGTTTTTTGAGCAGAGGGACAGTATCTTGTCATCCTGACAGGCACCTGTCAAGAACCCCATCAGTTACCTGGATTTTCACAGGAGAAGCTGAGCGCCAGCCACATAAGACAACCAAGTATTACAGCTGGTGAATGACAGAGAGGGGACATTACGGCCACCTTTTTTAATAGTTGGTGGAATAACAAGCACGTTTGGACAGTTACAAAATTTATTTCATTTAATTCTCAGAGGAGTTTTGCAAGTTGAGTGCCTCTCCCCATTCCCTGGTGCAGAGTGGACCGCGCGCAGGGAGTAAGGTGATTCAGAAATGTGTGTTAACAGGGTCACAACTGGCTGCTTCCCAGTACTTCACTGAAGTAAGCTAAATCCCAGAAGGGAAGTTTCTACATGAGAGCCAACAGCTGGGCCAGTCTTGTAAATGGGAGTTTCTGCTGTAGAAACTCTAGCCCACTGCTTAGGAAACCTTCTTCTTCTTTTTTTTTATGATTAAAATGTAGGCTTTATTGCTTAACTTCCTTTCCCTCCAAGTTCTTAATATATACTTAATATTTGAGTGCGTTTTGTCCAAAAAAGTTGCCAAAGAGCATTTTCCTTTCTTTCCCTCCCTCCCTCCCTCCTTTTAGGAAACCTTCTGTTGGCTAAGAATCCTAATCCCAGCGTGCTCCCCACCCCACCCTGCCCGACTGTTCTCAAATGACCCGTCCTGGCCAGGCCACATACTTTTATAATTGCCTGTTTCCTTGTCTCTGTTCCTCATCAGACTCTGGACTGTGAGAAAGTGAGACCCGCAGCCTCTCACTCTGCTGCTTCTCCGCTGTTCTCCTACCTGCCTGTGTTGGTGATCAGTATTAACTAGTGGGTGACGGTTATTCATAGAAAGGGCAGCTTCTCGGCTTTGTCTTCATTGCCGGCATCATGGTCACCTCCTGTTCCTCTTTTCACCTCCACTGCCTCTTTATTTTGAGACAGGGTCTGGCTAGTAGTTCACCTGGCCTCAAACTTTTTAATCGTCCTTTCTTGACCTTGAGTGCTAAGGTTCTGGTTAAGATTGTAGACAGGTATAATAAACCCTTACCCGACTGTGACATTTCTTTATTTAGTTAAAGGTGACTTTTGTTACAGACACAGTTGAGATGGCTGAGGTACTGGAACATGAAGACACGGAATTGGAGCCTATGGATGAGGAAGAGAAGGAACAAGCCTGTAAGAGTTCGTCGTCGGATGGCAAGGAGCCGCTGGAAGCCCCCGAGGCAGCTGATTCTGGTGGAACAACAGCTACGGAACAAGAATGCATCCCAAAGTCTCTTTCTTTCCTTCCTCGGAATAAGGAAGAGTTGGAAAGAACAATTAAAACCATCCAAGGAGCCATAACTGGGGATATCCTCCCCAGGCTGCACAAGTGCCTGGCATCTGCGGTAAGGACTGCTCCAGCATCTCCTGCTGCAGCCAGGATCGAGTCAGGGGCAAAGGACACAGTCAGATGCAGGGTACAGTGCTGGCAGGCCTTCGTGGGCCTTAGTGTTTGAATTTCCCCCAAACTCTAATTCTTACAGACCAAAAGAGAGGAAGAGCACAAGCTGGTCAAGTCGAAGGTCGTGAATGAGGAGGAAGTGGTCCGGGTCCCCCTGGCCTTTGCCATGGTTAAGCTGATGCGGTCCCTCCCCCAGGAGGTCATGGAGGCAAATCTGCCCAGGTATGTCATATGACAGGTAAAAGTTCAGAGAGACTCAGAATTTACTCCTTTTCCCCTGGCTTTTAATTCCTTTCCTCAGAGAAACGCTGCCATGGTTTGCTGTAGCTCAAGTCCTAACAGATGGGTGTGTTTCTATGTTTCTGTCTCTTGGTTATGTTTTGCCTTTGCATTTTCTAGTGTTTTGCTGAAAGTGTGCGTCCTGCTCAAGAACAGAGCCCAGGAAGTCAGGGACATTGCACGCAGTACTCTCACCAAAATAATCGAAGATCTGGGCGTGCACTTCCTGCAGTATGTTCTCAAAGAGTTACAGACGACCCTTGTCCGTGGGTACCAGGTAAGTGTGGCATTTCATATCACACAAGTCAGTACTTCAAGCCTGTCTTCAGTAAAGCTGACTGAGCGAGGGACTGGAGGGATGGCTCAGAGGTTAAGAGCACTGACTTCCTCCAGAGGTCCTGAGTTCAATTCCCAGCAACCACATGGTGACTCACAACCATCTGTAATGAGATCTGGTGCCTTCTTCTGGCCTGCAGGGACACAAGCAGATAGAACAGTGTATACATAATAAATAATTAAAAAGAAAAGCTGATTGAGCAAGCAGGCACCATCATTCACGTTTCTAGTCACAGCTGAGTTTGGTGTAAGGAAACTGTTCTAAGTAAAATTCAGTATTCCTTCTTTCTGTGGCTTTTTCTGCTAGCATGCTAAGATCATATAGGTAGAGATCAAGATCAGCATATGTGTTTTAACAGTGTATGAGGAGCAGGTGAAACCACCACCACGTAGGTCTTCTCCTCCTGTATTATCGTTGCTTTTGTCTTTGAGGATTGGGAACTTCACACAGTAAGGTAACTTTGTTTTCAGTAGTGGAATACATTGAAAAAAGTCAGAGGCGGGAAGTAGTTCCACCCTAGTTGGTCACATTGCTTCTTTGTTCTTTGGGCGTGTCTGCTAATGCTCCTTCAACTGAAGGACTCCCTTTAGCAATGGCGTGGAGTGTGGGGCTGGAGGCAGTGGGGTCTCACTTCCTTTTTTCTGGGAGACCTTTATCTCACTTTCATTCCTGAAAAAGGAATCCCTCCTGAATATGGAATTCTACCATTTTAAAAGCATTGTACCACTCTTTGTGCTGAGCTGTTCTGTTTGCTCCCTTCCAAGTAACTCGCTCTTCTTCGGCTGCTTTAAAGACTGGTCTGTTTCTCAGCAGTTTGTGTGTATCTCTGAGTGCCCTTTCCTTCACCAGTCCCTGCGGCACCTAAGCACACCGGTTGTTTCTGCACACACTGTATTTTATACAAAACTGTCCTGTCAGAGGGCCTTAAGTGGTGACCTGTGGTAGCATGTCTCAACTGCTCTGAGCAGTAACTAACACAAGGACCCTTGAGTTATGGCCAGCACCCTCATAGCCATTTCCATTCCGACTGTGTCTCTCGTCTTAGGTCCACGTGCTCACTTTCACTGTTTACACATTGCTGCAAGGCCTCACCAGCAAGCTGCAAGTTGGGGACTTAGACCCCTGTCTACCAATAATGACTGAGGTAAGATTAGCAGGATGCAGTTCTGCTTTCCCTAAGTGGGCAGTGGTCATTTTAGCAGTTCACAAGTAAGAAATAAAAATAGACTGTCAAAATGGAAATAGAATGCAAGGTTTCACTCATTGGTGGGTGCTTAGTATGTAGAAGGCCCCCCCCCCCAGGTTTAAACCTCAATACACATGTACACACGTGCGCAAACACACACACACACACACACACACACACGCACGCACGGCATTTACTATCTGTGTGTTTTAGATTAATGGAAGTTGGAAAAGCTACGCCTTCATTGCGATGGACATTCTATTGTTGCTAGTATATAAGTTGGTTTAACCTTTTTCAAAATGTTGGCATTTCATGTCAACAGCATTTGAAATATAAACAAAAATTTCCAGTTATCTCCAGTAATCCAGGTTAAAGGAGTAATCAAAGATACATCATGGATTTGTTGAAAAAGCTAAAAGTACCTTCAATCAGAGCTTTATAATATTAAAAAAGTAATGCTTAACTTAAAGTTAAATAGTTTTAAATGATTTGGGAGGTAGGATTAGCAATATAATAAACTTGACAGGACAATTTTAGAATGTAGGCTCTAATTTTTGAGTCTCAATTTCAAAATTTATATTCTTTGCAATGATTAAGTTGCAAATCTGAGGCTTTCTGGACCTCAGCTTGTTGCTCTCTGAACTAGTTTCTAAAGTGCATTGAAAATGTGTGTGCCCTAGCAAAAGCTCCCTTCCTCCCATTTCAGGCCATCCAGTCTAGCTCTGATGGGGTCCTGCAGAGGGCGCACTGCCCAGACTTCTTGTGTGGGCCTGCCTTGCTAAGTGCTCATCTCTGCCACTTGTCCTTCCTTCCTTCCAAAGATTTTTAACCACGAATTGTTCGGTGCCCTGGCGGAAGAGAAGGAGGTAAAGCAGATTCTGTCCAAAGTCATGGAGGCGCGTAGGAGCAAGAGTTACGATTCTTACGAAATCCTGGGCACGTTTGTCGGAAAAGATCAGCTCACAAAGCTTATTCTCCCATTAAAAGAGGTAAGGAGCGAGATCCAGGAATGCCGAACATTCTGTCTGAGCTCCCGAAAGAGTCTTTCAGGGCAAACACTGTCCATGATTCTCCTGGGTTGCCTTTGCGCTTAACAGACAAGTCCCGTGAGTTTCAGCCTTGACTTAGGTGCTGTGGTCAGCCAATCAGCGTCCTTGATGGGGAAAAGATGTCAAAGGAAAGGCGCAAGAGTTGGAGGGTGAACGAATTTTACCTCTGTGTCTTTGGACTTAAAACAGCTCCCGTATCGCCAAGCAGAAGAATGCTGCCATTGAATATTTTAAACATGGGCGCTGGGAAGATGATTCAGTGTTTACAAACACTGTCTGCTCTTCCAGAAGACATGGGTTCAATTCCCAGCTCCCACAGGGCAGCCTTCTATAACTACAGTTCAAGGGATCTGATACCTTCTTCTGGCCTCTAAGGTCACTGGGAGCGCACAAGTATGCATGCAGGCCAAACACTAACACACATAACTAGAAAGAAATAGAAATGTTCTAAGCACTGTTACAGGTAGAAAATTGAGACTGGAGGGGTAGGAAGAAACATGGTTACAGAGACTCGGGATTTAGTTCTAGACCACTCTGCTCTTCACTTGCTTTCCGCTGTCTCTTTTTGCCCCAGAGAGAACGGGGGCTCTAACTTATCCCCTTTCTTACTGTTTGCCATGCCCGTGTAAGTGATAGCAGCCGTGTTGTTACTGGTTCACTTTCTTACAGCTTTATGTAATAAACTAGAGCCGACCGCCATGTAGCGGGTTACTCTTATCTCCAGATGTCTTGGTGGTAGGTAGCTGTCAGCAGAGTGCACTTCATTTTATCTGGTGCTGACCTAAGGATGTTGGCTGTATTTTGAGATGGAAAGGGCTCATGCAATGAAAGGCTGAGTGTTTTCCTGAGGTGATGATGATCCCAAGTTCCCATCAAGCCTTTCCGAGTATTTCCTAAAACCTGGCCATCCCAGTCCTTAATTCACATGGTTCCTTTTAAATAGCAACTGTGCGTTTTATTGATTGGGGAGTGTGAGGGTGCGCGTGCACACACCTGCCATTCACCCCCATTAGTGCACTTCGCAGATACCTACAGCACTGTGCCCTGAGCCTCACCAGCAGGAATCCATGAGCACAGATACCAGTCACAGTGATCGTCTCTAGAGCAGAGGCTGCCAGAAAAGCACAGCTCTCCTCTCAAAGGATTGCGAGATTTGATGTTCTTCGTTATTCTGAAGCCGTAAATGAGTGACCATGAATTCACATTACCTCAAATAACCATGTTCCAACATGGCAACAGATTTATGAAGTTATAGTCAAAGAAGAAGCAAAGTAATCAAGACTTTTTAAAAATGGCTTGTAGGTCAGATGGTGGTGGTGCACACCTTTAATGCCAGCACTCGGGAGGAAGGCACAAGTGGGGTAGCCTGAGCCACAGAGTGAGTTCCAGGACTGCCAGGGCTACACAGAGAAACTCTGTCTCAAGGAAACACACATAGATGAATGACAGAAATACGCTGTGGAAACACTGGGTAGGTCAGTTACAATAAAGCGGAGAGCCCCTGTAGTAGCCACTGTGTTATCTTAGCCTTGGCTTGGTGGAAGCTGGCACTCTGTCCTACGTTCCCCTAAGGGATTGTAACAGTAGCCACAAGGATGTGAGGTCAAATACGGCGGTGCACGGTTATGGCCATTTGTGGGCTAGAGACAGCCTGACATAATTTGTTTCTGGGCCTGCAACAGTCAGGCTCTCCACAACCACTGGGGAGTTAGTTGTTCCTTGTAGATGGTTTTCTTTTGGAGACTTCAGTTCACAGGGTTGTGACCAGGTTGTTTTATATGTGGTATCTGTTTGAAGATGTGGTGCTGTACAGTCTTTAGTTAGAAAAGAGCACACCAGGAAGCCAATACGTGGAAAAGCCATTGCGGCCAATGAGAGCATGGCTCCGTCCATCAGCACACTCCCTTCTGTTTGCTAATTTAGATCCTGCAAAACACCACAAGTTTAAAACTTGCCCGGAAAGTTCACGAAACCTTACGCCGGATTATAGCAGGATTAATTGTGAATCCAGACATGACAGCAGAGTCTCTTCTCCTGCTCAGCTACGGTCTGGTCAGTGAAAACCTGCCGCTGCTAACAGAAAAGGAAAAGTAAGTTACTGGGGAGCCACTTCAGTCACTGTCTCCGAAGTGCATTAATTTAATCTGCTGTAATGTGAAACAAAAGTTTAACTGAGCACATCAGTGGATGCCTGACATCCCAATACTCAGGAGGCAGAGGCAGAAGAGTTGAAAATTTGATGCAGCCTAGCTTAGACAGCAAAATTCTTAGCTTTGTGCTGTTTGGGCTGAGAACCTTCCAAGTGGTAATTTCAACATACTGTTTTTGTCATGTGTAGTGGTGCATGTCTTTAACCCAATACTTGGGAAGCAGAGGCAGCGGAGTCTCTGAATTCAAGGCCAGCCTGGGCTGCACACATAGTGAGTTCCAGGACAGCCAAGGCTACATAGACCCTGTCTCAGAATATAAAAAATAAAATAAAGTTTTTGAAAGATTGTTTTTCTCTTAATGAGGTGGTTTAAAAGACAGTAGCCAGTTATTTTCATATAATTCTCTGGTGCCGGTTTTATTTTAAATATTTATTGAATGGCAGACTAGATTTGAAATATATTCTTGTTCTGATTAAAAGACATGTAGAACTTAGGTGATCTAAAAATTTCTTATGCCCATTCTTTGGATTTTGCTCTGTGTTCTGAAAAGAGACCTTGGCATTTATTGTCAAATTGTAACCCCAGGTATCCTCTCCATTCAGATCCGCTCCTTAGTCTACCCTCTGTTGTTAGAGGTTGCTGTAACCCTGGTCAGCCCTCCATTGTCTGCAGGGCAGGAGACAAAACAAAGTAGCTGGGCCCTGGTGGTGCCGCCCAGGACTGCACAAGGTGACGGCGCTCTTTCTCTTCTCTTCCACTGTGATTGATTGACAGGAAGCCAGCAGCCCCTGCGCCTGACACACGGCTGCCACCCCAGAGCTGCCTCCTGCTCCCCCCAGTTCCAGTCCGAGGTGGGCCAAAGGCTGCTGTAAGCAAGAGAACCAACATGCACATATTCATCGAGTCTGGTCTTCGGGTGAGACTCCCTTACACCTCGCTTCCTGTTTAGTCCTCTGCAGAGTCCCGGGTGCCCTTCGCCTCTGCACAAACGCTACACCGTGGATTCATTGCAGACACACTGAAGGGGGCCTTTGTTGAGTTACTGTTGGTCTCTTCCAATACTTCCAATACTAGGCACTCCTGGCTGACCCGGATCTCTCTGTATAGACGAGGCTAGCCTAACACTTGGCAGCAGTCTGCCTGCCTCAGCCTGAGTGCTGGGATAGCAGGTGTGCGCCACCTCTCTTGGCCCATCTCTGATGGCCTGATAGTTATTAGAATAGCATGGTTTTGGTTTGGTTTGGTTGGTTGGTTTTGCTTTTTTTTTTTTTTTTTTTTTATGAAGAGATTATTTTTTAAAAAAACTGGTCATTTTAGTTCCTGTGGCTGACATTTTTCCTGGTTCTTTCGGGCTTCAGGCTCCAGGCCCCTACTTCACTGTCCCAGCGTATATTACAGTGAGCCTCACTTCCCTTCCGCTCTAAAGCCACCTCACTGTCTTGAGTCTGTGCCTCGCTCAGAGTCCTCAGGATATGGACCCGGTCTGTCTTGGTCACTGCTGTGCCATGCAAAACCCGGCCAGGGCCTGGAGTCCAGTAGGTGCTGAGTAGTCATTTGGTGAACAGATCTCAGTTCAGGCTCGGTTCCCACACCCTTGCCTTTCTGAGCTCACTTCTTAGATTTCTTCATTTCCTTCTATTATTTTGAATAGAAGCATCTTGAAACGTTACATTCGTCTCTTCAAGTCCCTTCCTTTACCTCGCCCACCTTGTATTATGGGGAAATAATGTCAAATTCTTCTTCAACCCTTCTAGCTGCTGCATCTGAGTCTGAAGACTTCCAAGGTCAAGTCTAGTAGTGAGCATGTGCTGGAAATGTTGGACCCTTTTGTGGAAGTCCTCATTAACTGCCTGGACGCCAAGGATGTGAAGGTGGGTGGTCCGTGTGGATTGTCTGTCCTTGAGAGGACCAAGTTTATAAAGGATAGTACAGCCATCACGGTCTGCTTCACTGAAGATAACCCGTGGGGGAAGAAGGCTCAGTAAGCAAAGTTCATGGTGTGTGAGCAGGGGGACTGGGTTTGGGCCCCAGCGTGTACATAAAATCCCGTTTGGTAGAGAGCCCCTCACATCTGTGTAAGTCCTTTTAAGTATCTAACTGATTCTCAAGACACCTGCAGTGGTGTCCCCAGGCCAGTGATCTGCATCTTCATATGCTCACCGTTGTTGTTACCTTAATGACACCATCCCTATCCTACACGTTCCTGAGATAAATATAAATGCTCAAGGAAGCCAGAAGAAGGCACTGGATTTCCTGACATTCTAGTTACAGGCAGTTGCGAGCTGTTTGGTGTGGGTTCTAGGAACCAAACCTGGCTCCTTCCTCTGAAGAGCAACGAACTCTTATCTCCAGCCTCCAGATTTTGCTTTAATGAACCTAGGTCTTTGTGCACGGTAAACAAGTGCTGCACCGCTTAGATTTGTACCCAGCCCAAGGCAGATTTTCATGAGGAAGCTAGGGGCTGGCAGCTAGTCCTGACCTGTCTGTGGGACTCTGGAGCCCCCACCTCTCCACAGTCACACAGGCCATCACTTAAAGTCTCAGATTGAAGCTCAGGACTTTCAGATGACGAATGACTAAGGTTTTTGTTTTGTTTTTTGTTTGTTTGATTTTTTTTTTTTTTTTTTGTTTTTTGTTTTTTTTGAGACAGGGTTTCTCTGTGTAGCTTTGAAATCTGTCATGGAACTCACTCTGTAGACCAGGCAGGCTGGCCTTGAACTCATAGGAAAACACCTGCCTCTGCCTCCCGAGTGCTGGAATTAAAGGTGTGCGCTGCCACCACTGCCCAGTGACCAGGCTCTTTCTTTCTCTTCATAATCCAGCCCAGTGAGGGTGCCAGGGTACTAGAAGGGGGTATGTCAGGTACTGCAGTGCTTTCTCACCCCTGTGAATTTAGGAATTCTGTCTGTAAGCACGGAGTACCAACACCCTTTCTCCATCCTTGTTCTTCTCTATATTAAATGGTACTTGTTCTTACCTAATTTTGAGCCAGTTCTTCTTAACACAGAAGTTCTATGTGTATTTATTTTGGGGGGTTGAAACAGACTCATAACTGTGTAGCCCAGGCTGGCCTCAAACTCAAGATCTCCCTGCCTTGGCCTCCCAAGTGGTGAGATTAGAGGCTTGTGCGCCATGGCTATCTTTGTATTTATAATGCCCACAATGTACTGATAATGTAGATCCACAGCAAAACAGTTACCTAGCATGGGAGGGCCCTGGATTTGGTCATGCCAGCATCCCACTGGCCTCTCAGGCAGTGGCCGGAAGGGCTCTCTGGTCCTGCAGCCTCACTCCGCTCTGCCATGGCCTCTATATATAGTTTTAAACTAAGTCTCTGTCGTTCTATTTACCTACAAAAAACTGGAGGACAGATAAGGGGGTGAAAACTGCCAGGTAGAGAAGCTGAGAAGCAGCCAGTTGACCTTGCTTTTTGGCCAGAGACCCAGCAAGAAACACATCTCTTCACTCGTCCCATAACCAAAAAGGAAGCCCAAATTCAAGTTCTGGCTCTTTCCTTCCTGTGTGTCTTCTCTATCCAGATTGCTGGCGTCTCTATGGCCAATTCTGGTCAGCTAGTTGTCAGCCCCGCCCCCTGATTCAAGGTAAACTTAACAGTCCTACAACAAAGGTAGCAGTGGTGGTAGCATCTTTAAGGATACCCAGGATGGCTGTAGATAGAACACGAACTTGGTAAAGATGGCTACACTGGAAAGATGGCTCAGCAGTTAAGGGCACTGCTCTTGCAGAGGACCCAGGTCCATCCCTGCACCCACGTGACTCACCACCAGCTGTGACTCTACCTCCAGAGCATCTGATGGGCTTCTCATTTATACATATAACATACATAAATCTAAAAAGCCATTTTTGTAAAGAGTGAGAAGCTTTTATTCTGTGGCTCGTTCTCCCACCATGGGCTCAGCACAGTCTGATAGATACTCCTTCACCTCCACTTGCCCATGTCCCGAATCATCCATAGCTCTGCATTCTGTTTTCTCAGGTGATCACGGGCGCTTTGCAGTGCCTCATCTGGGTCTTGCGGTTCCCTCTGCCTTCCATAGAAACAAAAGCAGAACAGCTGACCAAGCACCTTTTCCTCTTGCTGAAGAACTATGCAAGACTGGGGGCTGCCCGGGGCCAGAACTTCCACTTGGTAGTGAATTGTTTCAAGGTGAGAGAAACAGTCGCCCTTAGTGAGCCAGGACTGGGTCCACATCCCATCCGTCAGTCAGATTTGTTTCCTAGGTGTCGTTGAGGCCTTCTCATTTCCTTAGACCTCACTTTGGGGGGCTGCTGCTGACTCACTCCTGTGACTTACAGTGTGTGACCATCGTGGTCAAGAAAGTCAAGTCCTGCCAGATAAGTGAGAAACAGCTTCAGGTTCTCCTGGCGTATGCTGAGGAAGACATTTATGACACCACAAGACAGGCCACTGCCTTTGGTCTTCTCAAGGTACAGTATTGCCAAATGTTCGCTTGGGACGTTTATGTACGCTCATCAAATCCTGAGAATAATACTTGAACATCTGAAGTTAAAGAATTGATAAAAGTTATTGTGATTGTCATAGATGTAAGCTAATAGAGCATTTTTAAAAAGAATTATTTGTTACGTATATGGGTATTTTGTCTGCATGTATGTCTGCACACCAGACAAGAGCATTAGATCCCATGAGACCATAGTTATTGGTGGTTGTGCTGGGAATTAATCTTAGACCTCTGGAAGAACAGCCAGTGCTCTTAAGCTCCGAGCCATCTCTCCTGCCCCTAACATAGTATTGAAACATGAGGTCTACAGTGACCTTTTCAGAAGGGCTGGGGATTTGTCTCAGTGATAAGACATTTCCTTAGGTTGGAAAGCCCATGGGTTCAATCCCTGGCATTGCATGCATGCATACATACACATGTGTGTTCTTACATACATACCCGAGCCTGCAGAGCTCTGGACAGAATCATGTGTTCTAGTTTATCATATTGGAGGATCTTTTTGTTGTTGTGCTTATTGATGAACTACTGCATAATTTAAAGCTTTCTATTTCAACCTTTGTAAGTCTGTACTTTTTCTTTTGGTTATTGTCATTGTGACTGAAAGCTGCCTGTGACTGCTTTAACATCGGGCCTACCTATTATATCCATCGGTGGATGAAATTTGTTTGTCTTTTCACTTAATGTTTTAGGCTATTTTATCAAGAAAATTACTGGTCCCAGAAATTGATGACATCATGCGGAAAGTATCCAGCTTGGCAATTTCTGCGCAGAATGAGCCTGCCAGGGTCCAGTGTAGACAGGTGTGTAGAGAGAACTAATTACCATAGTAAGGGTTGGGCCACACCTGCTAGCCTTGCTGTTACAGTTAGAGGGCATCCTCTGGATTCTGAAGACTGCTTTGTACGATGCTGTTGCTGTGTTCTGAGACTCAAGCTTCGAGGGCAGGAGGTCGGGTCCTGAGGATTGCTGGGTAAACTGAAATCTGGATAATCAACTGTGTTTCGTTCTTAGGTTTTTCTGAAATACATTCTTGACTATCCCCTCGGTGATAAATTGAGACCAAACTTGGAATTCCTGCTTGCTCAACTGAAGTAAGTGCAGACACAGGAACAGAGGGGTGGGCTTCCTCTTCCCTTTAATGTGCTGCCTGTCTGGCGAGGATGGCCTGAGCATGCTGGGAGTTCCTCAGCACTGTTGCTCTTGGCGCCCCTGATGCTTCTGTGCGAGGTTTTGCTCTCTGATCAGAGTCTGCTCCGGAGGATATTGGGAACCCAACGTAAAGGCAGCTCTATGGTCCGTGAGGTCATTGGCCTTGGGAGAATGGGGTAGTTCCCAGTTCTTCAAGAAATAAGTGACAAGCTGCTATTTTAATTTGAAAGTAATCACGAGATACTGAGTCCACCTAATGTTCTCACCCTAGTTATGAACATGAAACTGGAAGAGAATCTGCCTTGGAAATGATTGCCTATCTCTTTGACACCTTCCCTCAGGTACTGTTTACCCGGGACCCCGGAAGCTCTGGCTCTCACTGTTAGGTATCCATTGCTGTCCTATCCCGGCGTTCTCACCAGTGCCTGTTCTCCCATAGGGCCTGCTCCATGACAACTGCGGGATGTTCTTCATCCCTCTTTGCCTGATGATGGTGAACGATGGCTCTGCCATGTGCAAGAGGATGGCTTCCATGGCCATCAAATCCCTGCTCGGCAAGGTCAGCCTCGAGAAGAGGGACTGGCTCTTCGGTCTGGTCACCTCCTGGTTTGAAGCGAAAAAGGTCAGTGTTGCTTTTGGTCACATGTTAGCTTTTTTGCATAGTTTACACCAGAATACATGCTAGGGGCACTGTTGACACGGCCTGTCCCAGACAGCCTTGTTGGTGTGTCGTCACATAGATAATATGCTCCCAGTCTCCTGGAGCCTAAGAAGCTACAGAGAGAGACAGAAAAACCAGCTGTGCGCAAAACCATTAATATTAACCAGACTCGGCCCCCAGTGCACGAATGCCCTGGTTCTGCACTGCTTTGTTCTTCAGTTTCCAGAACACAGAGCTCACATCCTTCCCATCAACACTGTCACCATCGCAGCTGGCCGTCTTCTAAGGACTTCAGCTATGATTTCATTTATTTTCTTCTCTTGTTTGAAAACTATAGTTTCATCCATGCTTGGTTTCGTTGACCCTCCACCCACTCTGGCCCTCATCTGACTTGGACCTTTGCACCCCAGCAGCTCCCCCTTTCCCTCTTACATGAAGTTACTATGGTATCCTCCTGTCCCTCCCTTACCCTCCTTTCCCTCTCTCACGGGCCAGCCCTTTTCTAGTTCCCTGCTATCCACACCTGCTCACCCCCAGGTAAATAGACATACGTGAAGCCAGGACCTGTAGAGGGGATGGCATGCTGTTTCTCTCTTACTGACTCTGCTGTCGACACTGCCTGCCTTCTTTCTGTAATTCTGCATCTTACTGTGCTTTGTTCTGGGTAGCGGTTAAACCGACAGCTAGCTGCCCTGGCCTGTGGCTTATTCGTGGAGAGTGAAGGAGTTGATTTCGAGAGAAGGCTTGGAACTCTTCTTCCTGTGATTGAAAAGGAGGTTGATCCTGAGAACTTCAAAGACGTAAGTGATTTGCTAGGTACTAAAACTTGGGAAGAGTTTACGAAAGCATTCGGTTGCATTGCTAATGTTGCATTGAAAATGCAGTTTTCTTTTCTTTTTTTTTTTTTTTTTTTTTTTTTTGGTTTTTCGAGACAGGGTTTCTCTGTGGCTTTGGAGCCTGTCCTGGAATCCTGGAACTAGCTCTATAGACCAGGCTGGTCTCGAACTCACAGAGATCCGCCTGCCTCTGCCTCCCGAGTGCTGGGATTAAAGGCGTGTGCCACCACCGCCCGGCCAGTTTTCTTAAGGAAAATCAAGAATCCAGTGCAGCTGAAGCTTTTGAAAATGGGGCCTAGAGGTTAAGGGTGTATTTCATTGAAAGAGTGCTTACCAGCATGCCCAGGACCCCAGCACCACCAAAACAAGCAAGGGCAGCGTGCTGTGCTGATGCACAGTGAGACGCTGTCTCTGAAGTAAAGTAAGCTACCTTCCCTGTATGTGAAGATCGGAGGCACTCAGGGCGTCTTACCCCGGGTACAATTGGCAATACCCAAAAACAGTTTTGGTTATTATCACAAGTGGAGGGTGGACTTGCAGTGGTGTCATTGGTAAGTGGCTGGGGGGATAATCTCCGTTGCCGTGGTTAGGAAACCTGCTAGAGACAGACGTGCTGCGGAGTGCATGTACTGGGTGCTTCCAGGCCATTCCGTTAACTGGCACGCGCTCACCCTGTGTTTAGATCATAGAGGAGACGGAGGAAAAAGCTGCAGATCGCCTGCTGTTTGGTTTTCTCACGCTGATAAGCAAACTCGTCAAGGAATGTAACATTATTCACTTCACCAAGCCCTCCGAGACATTGAATAAAATCTGGAGTAAGTATTTTATTTAACAAGGCAGTAACTGTGATAAAATTATTGGAAATACTTGAAATCTGAGCAAGAACAGTACAGAAAGTAAATGTAAGTTCGTAAGGAAGAAAACAAAGGAGCCCATCAGATTATTACACTGGAAAGTTATTTTTTGGGGGGTATTTTTTTCTCACTAGTACATTTCATTTATGAAACAAAGGTCATTAATTGGGAGTCAGTTTTGGAAAGGCAAATGTTGCAGAAAGCCGGGTGCTGTGTGATTTACTTCATACAAAGCTCCTACCAGCTCCTCCTTCCTTCCTCCCCTGCCCTCCCCCAGCTCTGCTAATATGTGGTTTACAGGGCTGGATTTCATGTATTCCTTCAGCATCAGTCAGTAGGCAGAGTCAGTTTTAGAATTCTTTCCTGTGTTGTGTCTCCATAACTTCTGTTGTCTGGAAAACAGGGCAGTTATTTTCCTCTTTGGCTCCTCAGTCCCAGCACGTAAGATGCCTACACGCATCATGTTTACCGCCAGGGACTCGGAAAAGCACGAGGCAGCTGAGAATGCACGTTGCTCTTTCAGGTCACATACACGCGCACCTCAGACATCCGCACAACTGGGTGTGGCTCACGGCTGCCCAGATTTTTGGGTTGCTCTTTGCATCTTGTCAACCGGAAGAGCTCGTTCAAAAATGGAAGAGCAAAAAGGCCAAAAAGAAGCCCACGGAGCCTGTAGCAGTCAGGTTCCTAACAAGTGACCTTGACCAAAAGGTACCCTTTCTTCTGTGTGTGTGTGGGGGGGGGGGGGTGGGGTTGCTTTGTTTTAAGACTGAGTCTCACTATGTAGCCCTGGTTAGCCTAAAATCAGGCTGACCTGAAATTTACCAAGATCCTTTTGGCTTGGGTTTTGGTGTTGTTGCCTTGTATGTTTTGTTCGTCAGGTAAAGTTTCCCTAAACCCTTGTTCTTCCCTTCTGACCCGTGTGAGATGTTTCCTCTGGTTTATGGTTATCCCCTGGGCTGCACACATAATCACTAAGAGTTTTGAGGAGTGTTGTTTGGTTTTGGGACACGGTCTCACTGTGTGACCTAAAGTTGTTGTGGAACTCACTGTGTCTCCCTGACTGGCCTTAAATTCCCCGCGCTCCTCTGCCTTCAGCCTCCTGGTGTGCTCGGGGTTCAGGTGTGTCCACACTCCCAGCTGTTAATGGATGGCCTTCAGCCTCCTGGTGTGCTCGGGTTCAGGTGTGTCCACACTCCCAGCTGTTAATGGATGGCTGACTGTTTTAACAGCCAACAATGTTGTCTGTCTGCTCATGTCCCCTTCTTCTCATAGATGAAGAGTATCTCTCTGGCTTCCTGCCATCAGCTGCATTCCAAATTCTTAGACGAGACCCTAGGAGAACAGGTAAGAGTGTGGGCTCCAGTGTGGGAGAAGCAGCCAGCTGGTCTCCTGACAGACTAAGAATAAATACGCTTACATTTTTACGTTTGTTATTTGCTTTCTTTCTTTCTTTTTGTGGGGTGGGGGGTTTCTAGACATAGACAGGGTTTCTCTGTGCAACAGCTCTGACTGTCCTGGAACTAGCTCTGTAAACCAGACTGATCTCGAATTCCGAGATCCCCCTGCCTCTACCTCCAGCATGCTGGGATTAAGAGTGTATACCGCCACCACCCAGCTGTTATTTGATTTCTTTTGCTCTCAACGAACTTTAATATTTGGTAAAATGTAATGATCCACTCCAGGATGTGTCGTTGTACATCCATGTCTTGTTGACTCTGGGGCAGTATTGGAATAACTTGGCCTCGTCACCATTCCCAGTGAGGGTGATAGGGAAGGAAGCTGCTGTCCTTAGAATACCAGTTCTGCGCTGTGGCTGAAGCTTTAAAGGGGTTGGTGGATGGGTTAAGTACTCTAGAAAAGCTCGGTATTGAATCTCCTTACCATATCCCTGGAGGTTAAAGAGAAAGATTGACCTAAAAACTGGCTGTCCCTAAGGCAGGCGGGCAGACCAGCGAGCCTTAGTGAGGCTAGCCAGTCTAGCCCAGGACCCCAAAAGATCCTGTCTCAAAAAGCAAGGTGGGCAGCTCCTGAAGAACAAGGTTGTCGTCAGCAAAAGAAAAACAAATGAATGAACTGGCCACTGGCCGACCCTAAAGCAGATAACACCGTCCATCATTAAAATAGTTCCTGTACTTCCATTAGATGACATGCGCTGTACAGGTACAGCTCCTGCCTGTGGTCCCGTTGGGAGACTGAGGTGAAGGGCGGCATCAGTGTGAGGCCAGCCAGGCCTGCAGGGTCTCAATCTGTCTTTAAAAAGTAAATGCTCAGCTGGGCAGTGGTGGGCACGCCTATACTCCAGCACTCGGGAGGCAGAGGCAGGCGGATGGATCTCTGTGAGTTCGAGGTCACCAGGTCTACAGAGCAAGTTCCGGGACAACCAGGGCTCTTGCACAGAGAAACCCTGTCTCTAGCAAGCTTTACATATGGCCGGGTCAGAGAAGGAGTAGAGAGCTGTTCAGTGGGTGGTGAAATGGAGTACTTGGCATTGAAGGCTAAAGACTGTTGAATCCTGGCTGACCACTAGTGACATTTTATATTGGTGTAACTGTAACTGTTTCTCTCCTGGTACCAATACCTCAGAGGGATCTTTACAGTTGAATGTGGATTCAATGAATCAGTTCATATTATTTCTGCATAATTAGGTTCAGATAATTAGTGCAAGATAAAATGACAATGCTTCTTCCATGGGAAAATGTTTTACTTCTGTGACTTTAAAGACAGAACTAAGCAAAATGACAACAGTTGCAGGAGAATGAATTTGGGTACTGTGTGGGAGGACTTAACGTAAAGCAGCCATGGGGTAATGGCGCTGTGCCCACCATTCTGTCCCCTGCATGTTAGGTTAGGACTCAGCACGCCTTGCTTGTCTCCAAATCTAACCTCCTCCCCTCTCCCTTCTTTAAGGTTGTTAAGAACTTACTGTTCATAGCAAAAGTCTTGTATTTACTGGAACCTGATTCTGGGAACAAGCAAAGAGAGTTGAAAGACTTGGAAGAACAGGACACGCTAGGAGATGCTCTGGCCACAGAGGTGGCAGAAGACGAGGCTGGTGCAGACGGAAGGACGGAGTTGGACGGGGAAGAGAAGGAAGAGCCCAGCAAGCCGGCCACGCTGCTGTGGCTGATCCAGAAGCTGGCCCGGACAGCTAAGCTGGAAGCTGCTTATACTCCCAGAAACCCCTTAAAGGTGCCACAGGCGATTAAAGTCTCTGTTGTTTGTGTGTTTTGTTGTTGCTGTCTGAAACAGGGTCTCAGCTCAGTGTGTAGCCCTGGCTGGCCCGGAGCTCTGCTAAGCCAGGGAGGCTTGGATTAACAGAGACCTGTCTGCCTCTCTCCCAGATGCTGGCCTCTTGGTTTTTGACACAGATTTGGTTTTGGAGTTTTGTTTTTTTCGATTTTAGAGACAGGGTTTTTTTTTTTTGTTTTTTTTTTTTTTGGTTTTTCGAGACAGGGTTTCTCTGTGGTTTTGGAGCCTGTCCTGGATCTAGCTCTTGTAGACCAGGCTGGTCTCGAACTCATAGAGATCCGCCTGCCTCTGCCTCCCGAGTGCTGGGATTAAAGGCGTGCGCCACCACCACCCGGCTGAGACAGGGTTTCTTGACACAGGCTCTAACCCATTTACCTGGTGCTTGTTTTGTATCTCAGGCTGGTCTGAAACTTGTCCTTACTGTAGCAATCCTCCTGCCTTCGCCTTCCAAGTGCTAGATTTATTATAGGAGTAAGTTACAACATCCAATATTTTCTTAGTGAGTTTTGATTTGGGGTGTTTGTTTTGGGGCTTGGGGTTTCTTGTTGAATGTGTATATGTTATTGGTGAGACTTTTGGATCCTTGGGACTTTGTATTTTGAACCTAAAATTGCAACAATGTCTGTCTCAAAAAAGAGTGAGCTGGGCTTTTCAGCTGCACACTGTTGGTGTGACTGACTGAGCGGAGACAGTTCAAGCGAGATTTCTTCTTTCAGAGAACCTGCATCTTTAAGTTTCTTGGTGCAGTAGCTGTGGACCTTGGAGTAGACCGGGTCCAGCCCTACCTTCCAGAGGTCATCGCACCTCTGTTTCGGGAACTCAACAGCACCTACTCGGAGCAAGGTAGGTACCCTGCTGCCTGTCCTTTTGCACACTGGGACCCCTTCCTGTCTTCCTTCCTACAGCAGTTTAAGGAAGAAAACATTTAATGACAAACATATTTTCCATTTATTCAATGAACCTTCTGTGTGCTTCCAATCATGGCAAAAAGCGGGTGTCATCGGGTGTGACCTGTGAGGCAGGTGGGACTTGATAACTTTAAGGCCAACCAGGACTACACAGTGAAACGCTGTCTGAAAGGGGTGAGAAAATGTTTGGCTTCTATAGAATGATGACTCTACCCTCGGAGGCAGCTTCTAGGTATGCCTAAACCTCGCAGTGGACAGGTGGTGCTGCGTGCTGTAACCCCAGCACGCTGGAAGCTCCCAGAGGAAGAGAGTTCTCTCAAAAAACTAAATAAGACAAATGGAGCAGATTTGGTGTTAGATTCCCAAGTTTTCATATCTTGCTTATTCACAAATACCTCACAATTTAATGTTTTTTAATTTCTGGCTTAAGTAAGTATAGAGCAACAGTCTGTGATTTCATAGAGACCTTAGCAGTTGGTCCTGAGGTTGGTGTTTCTAATGCTCTAGTAAGTCACTTTCAGAGGAGCCTGGGGTTGTTGTCGTGGGGTTGTTGTTGTAGCCAGGCTTTCTCTATGTATCCTTGACTGTCCTGGAACTCGCTCTGTAGACCACGCTGGCTCCGAACTCACAGAGACCCACCTGCCTCTGCCTCCAGAGTGTTGGCAAACGTTTGTCCTTGTCACCACCCCATGAGGCTTTTTCAGCTGTTCAGCCTCATTCATCTTTAGCTCGCTGTACTTCGTATAAAGTGATATTCTTTAGTGCCTCGTGTATTTGGAGCAGTCCAGTCTGTGGATCAGGCCCTCGGATACATCTTAATGGATTCCCATGTATTTAAGGCAATACAACTGTGTGGCTGAGTTGCATTTTAGAAAGAGAAAGGGAGGATGGGAGAGAGAGCACGGCTAGGCTCTGACCTGTGCGCTGGAGGCTGGAGAAACATGCTGCCTTACCATCTTCCGCATCTGCAGAGCTGCACAGGCTCACAGAGGAAACCCAGCAGCCAAGTTCCTGTTGAGAGCTGGGCCTCCTAGAGTCTGGTCTCCTCTTGCGTTCTGGCTAAGGGGGACGCTTACAGGTGCCACACCCTCCCACCTCAGAGCTTGGGAGCCATGGATTTGTGTTGAGTGATAACAGTCATGATGCCATGGGAGTTGAAATGTTTTGACGTGTGACTGCCTCTCATCTTTCTTCTGTGTGATTAGATCCTCTGCTGAAGAATCTATCCCAGGAAATCATAGAATTACTCAGAAAGCTGGTTGGGCTCGAGAGCTTCTCGCTGGCCTTTGCCTCTGTCCAGAAGCAGGCTAGTGAGAAGAGGGCACTCCGGAAGAAGAGGAAGGCCGTGGAAGTGAGTGCTGTGTGCTGTGCACGCATGTGCTGCTGTTCCCTGGGGGAGGAGGAGGAGGGTTTTCATTAGTGGCATCTTGTGCATTTGCTTTGGGTTCTTTTAACATGTACCTTAAAAGTAATGCACGATCTCTGCTTTCTCTTCAAGTTTGTAACCAATCCTGATATTGCTGCCAAGAAAAAGTTGAAGAAACATAAAAATAAAAGTGAAGCAAAGAAAAGAAAGATCGAGTTCCTGCGCCCAGGCTATAAGGCCAAGAGACAGAAATCCCACAGCCTGAGAGATTTGGCGATCATGGAGTGAGATCTCCCTGTGCGCAGAGCAGTAACTCACACGGTCTCTGGGGTGGAAACCTGAACTTCCAGCCTTCCTCTACTGGACTGAATTAGACTTCGGAAGGTAGGCATGGCTGTAATCTCTGCTCCTGGACGGCTAAGGCAGGATTGCTTCAAGTTTGAGGCCCACCTGAACTACACAGTGAGTTTCAGGCCAGTGGACTAATGAAAACAGGACTCAACCAAAAGAAAACAAGTTAAAGCTTGGCATAGATTTGTAATTATATTTTAATGCAATCATGTTTGTATTTTTTTAATTAAAATGCTTAATATGATACTCCTGTATCTTCATTGTCTAAAAAGTGTATGATACTAAATGACATGGTTTTAAACCTAGCTTTTTCAGAAGAAGATCTTTTAACACAGGGAAAAGCTGGTGTGGTGGCATTCACCTTTAATCCCAGGAGTCTGGAGGTAGAAGCAATTGGATCTGTGAGTTTGAGAACATAGACCCTGCCTCAAAATATATATTTATGTATATTATATATTTTAAAAATTATATTTAAATATAAAAAGTAGATATTAGGAATAAGTAGAACAAAGTATTGGTAATAACATCAGAAAGCATTGAGAAGTCTGTGAACAGATACAGCCATGCTAATGGATTCAGTATCGTAAAGTGCTGTTTTCCCAGATTGATCCCTCTGGCTGACTACATATGGGAGCAAAACCCAAAAATATATGGCCCTGTGTAATACAGGATAAAGAGAATGAGCCCAGTGTTCAAAGACAGTGAGTCTGGAGAAGGAACACGATTCAAACCTGCAGTGTGTGGTTACAGGTCTTAGGTTGTACTAGCAACACTCGTAAGATTTGGAGGTCCAGGTTTCCATATTTGGCTTGTGTGCAGATGCCTCAGCTTCAACAAGAAACACAATTACCATTTGCTTTCACAGACACTTTCCCAAGGGATTCTAAGGTTGACTGCCTCTCTGGAGTGACTCACTCTTGAAGGAAACTGGTTTCAGTTGTTCAGCCATCACCTCCTCACCACACTCAACGTTGAAGCAACACTCTTCAGTGACCAGTGTATTTGGGAAACAGAACCCATCCTGTGCGTTGGGTACCAGGCGTACATCTTAATTTTGATCCTACCTCTGAGATCCAAAATTGTTCCTATATACAGATGCAATGGACTCAGCAAATAACTAAGAAATTGTGGAATGTAGACAGAACCAAAATGCAAAACACTCCCTTTACTAAGCTTCGTGCACAAACTGCCAAGCTCCTTAGACGGATTGGTGTGCACACAAACACTCTCTAGTATTCAGATTTACTTGGTAAATGTCAACACTGGAGCTCGGGATTTATTCTAGCCTCTGTGATGCTCCATCATATTGAGGTGGTGGGGGCTAGGTGCCAGGTGGCTGTGTCTGCCACACCCTATTTTTCCAGTGTTCCAGAATCATAGGGGAGTAAACCCAGTAACTCAGTGTAAATAAATTACTCTCTTGTCATTTTCCAGCTCTGTGCCATAGACCGGAAGGAAACTAAAGTATAAACTGCAGTGAGTGCCTCTTGCCTACCTGACACCGGTGTATCTTATTGCGGCTTCTGCATGTGAGGGATGCGCTTGTCTGTGTGTGCAGGTGTGAAGGTCAGATCTCTCCATCTTGTAGGCTGAGATAAAGGTCTCAGGGCTGGACCTTGCCATTTCACTAGACCAGCCCCCAACACTGAGGTTAAAGACATGCCTGGCTTTTTACATACTTGCTGGGTATCAAACAATGACCCTCATGCTTGCACCATAACCTCCCCAGCCTCAAGTATGAATATATTCCAATGGAAGGGAATGTCCACATATATGGGTACCAAAATGCATATAAAAACAAAAGCCCTGCCGGGCGGTGGTGGCTCACGCCTTTAATCCCAGCACTCGGGAGGCAGAGGCAGGCGGATCTCTGTGAGTTCGAGGCCAGCCTGGTCTACAAGAGCTAGTTCCAGGACAGGAACCAAAAGCTACGGAGAAACCCTGTCTCGAAAAAAAAAAAAAAAAAGACAAAAGCCCTGTTCATCAAAAGTATACTCATTTGTCCTGGGAATAATTGTGCCTGGAGGAAGAGGGTCCCTAAAAAAGATTGCAAAAAAAAACTTGAGTAGAAGAACAAAAAGGTTATGAATCCTAAGCCGGCCGTGATAGTATGAAGCCAGACATGAAAATCCCTCAGGAGCAAAGTGCGTTCTTTACTTACCCTAACAAAATGACCGTCTCTGGGAGGGAAGGCTAGAGCCCATATCTGTACCATGTCTAACTTTCAAACGCTCCTTTTGGTATCTGAAAGAACCCCCAGTGTTAGTGACACACAGACCATGCCACCGTCACACGTGCTAAGGGCAAGGTGGACTGTTAGACTGACGTAGTTCCTCAGGACAGTTTTAAGCCTGCAGTATGCCTAATTTTTAAAACTAGAGTTTAATTTTCTTTAGAACCAGTAATATTCTTTAGTCAATTTTAATCTGAAAAGGGCAAATGAGTGGAAACCAGTAAAGACACCATGTTAATATTATTAAAATTACTTTTTATTTGCTTTCATGTGAAGTTTTTTATGTGTTGTAGATTCATTAGATACAGCTATCTGGGATCATTCTGACTATCAGTTATCATTTTACTAGCATAGACAGAGTTTATATAAACAGTACTTTGAATGTCCATAACTACTTTAGTATATTTTGTGTGTGCGGTTGGTTTGTTAATTTTGTTTTGAGACATGGTCTCAAGCAGCCCAAGCTGGCTTCAGATTCACCACACAGCCGAGGCTAGCCCTAACTCTCGGTCCTCCTGCCTCCGTCTCCTGAGTACTAGGATCACACGTGTGTGCCACCAGACCAGTATCTGTGTTCCCAGATCAGTGTTTCCATATACAGTATGGTTTCTGACACAAATGTCTGACCCCCACCTCACTATATAGGGCCAGGCAAAGCAACATAGCAGAACCTTGTGTTTCTCACAGGGTTACTGTACAATGTTCAGGTCAACGTGTCAAATTCTTTTGACAGCTATGAAGTATTACAAAATAATGTAAGTCAGTAAAGTAAGCCAACAAAATAATACTCATGCCTATAATCAAAAACCCAAGAGGAATAGCTTAATATAAACTAGTCAGTTAGTCCAGTGAAGATTATATTATACACACTATATTGCTAATCTACTTTGCTAAGACTAATCTTTGGAAAGCCTTAATTCATTTTAAGGGGAAATAAATCTGAGCTAAATATTAGTGTTCATACAAACAATGCAACCACTAATGTAAAGATAGGTGGCCCAAGAGTATACATCCTTTAATAGAATTGTATTTGCGTAAGAATTCCATACAAATAGAATATATACCTTAACACAAGAAAGCAAGGAAGAATATTTTACATTACACAGACCATTTGGATGGTATAATCAAGCTAACCCTCTCGCCAAGTACTTGCTTTTTATATTTATTACAAATCCTGGAGTCAGTTCTGGACATGCCAGCAGTCACAGTCCTAAGTCACCGAAGCACATCTGGCCGATTCCAATGAGTGTGTGACAGTGTTTGCTTCACAGATGAGGGGACTTACTGTCTGCTTTTCAGTGTTTCAACTAACCTGCAAAGAGAAAATGCAGTAGTTTAACAAAACTAACTCCCAAGTATAAAGCATGACCATTTACAATATGAATTCCACAGTGGAGGTGGATTTAGAGCATTTTACTCACCAAGTCTAACACAGATCAAAGAAAGGGGTCGGGTATCTACTGATTTTTCTTTTTCTTGAGACAGAATCTCAAGCCCCAGGCTAACCTAGAACTCACCATAGACCCTAAATTACTGACCTTGTCTCTGCTTCCAAAGTACTGAGATTATAGGCAGGCACCATCAAATCTGAATCTCAGGTATCTTACTTTCTGCTATTACTGCTGGGTTGTACATAGGTACACCTCAGAGGTAAGAACTCATTATTCCCAAACAGCTGGAGTAGATACACCTATTGATCAGTTATAAGCTGATGTAGCAAGCATGTGTCACTGGGCTGTGATAAGGGTGAATAAGTTCACGTGTGTGAGGACAGTGGGATCGCAGATACACTTTGAGACTCTTGGGGGAGGAAGAGGACTGCAGCAGAGTCTTCCCACGCAGCCTCAACTGGCTTCAAACTTGGTGATTCTCCTGCATGTGCCTCCTAAGGGTTGGCAGTGGTGGTATGGGCTACCACGATGCCTGTCAAGAGTCTTGTGGAGCCGGGTGGTGGTGGCGCACGCCTTTAATCCCAGCACTCAGGAGGCAGAGGCAGGCAGATCTCTGTGAATTCGAGGCCAGCCTGGTCTACAAGAGCTAGTTCCAGGACAGGAACCAAAAGCTACGGAGAAACCCTGTCTCAAAAAAAATCCAAAAAAAAAAAAAAAAGAGTTGTGGACAAGAAGTAAGCCTTATCCTAACTCCCGAAGGACTCAGGACAGGAAGGGGACGTAGAGCAGAGAGCCAGCTTACCCGGCGTGGGAATGCACACTAAGGAGGCTGGAGCAGGAGTATGTCCTGGGCTACATACCAGGACAAAGAACACTATCCTACAGGAAGCTTCCCATATGTGTGCACAGACGCTCACCATTCCATGGCCTCGTCAAGGCCGGTGCCTTTGGTTGCTGACGTTTTAAATATCTGCCATTTTCGGTCCTTCAGGGCTGGCAGCCCAAGCGCATTTGCCATCTCTGAGGGTGTCATAGCCTGCTCCATGTCCTGCTTATTTGCAAACACCACTAAAATGGCCTTCCTCAGCTCTTCTTCCTAAATAAGATGGAAAGACTTCATTTTAATATGCACCCTTGATTTGGAAAAAAAAAACACTGAAAAATAAATTGTGTTGAAGAAAGTGTGTACTTATGTAGCCATACTCTTGTAGACTAATGAAATTCACGGGGTCACACACACCAAAGACATGAACACAGAAGGGAGGCCAGGTGGGAAGAGGGGCTGGTGGGGGCGGAAGGAGAACGGAGACAATAAAGGGGGATACATATAAACAAAACACAGCATGTATGCGCAGGAAAACGTCAAAGACACCACTACTGTGTACAGTTAACAGACAGAAGCATTCAAATACAGAAAGAACAGCAATCCTATACTTGGAAGTCTGAGGCCAGCCTGAGGACATGGCAGGCAAGTTCAGGTACGCAGATGCTAAAAGCAAGACCCAATCTCAGAAGGAAAAAAAAAAAAAAACCTTTCAACCCTCACTGATTTCCTGTCTTATTTGTTGGTGTTCGGCACATCTCAACTTTGGGAGTTTTGAGTTACAATTAAACCTATCTTC